GGCAAAAACAATGACTAGTAGGCTACATAAATTCTTTATTGTGCATGTGGTAAATAGAAGAAATAACACGATATGGCAGAATGACTGGGGAGGAAGAACTAAATTGAAGGGAATCAGTAGGTGAGGAAAAGATGCTGACTGTGGGTTGGACACATATTGAAAAAGCCTGTTGATAGTAAAACAAGAAAATCCTTTCTCTGAAATTAGAAGAGCACGAGAAATAAAGAAAGGCCTAAAACACACAAATAAAATTAGATAAATAGTATAAGGCGTCCTCTCTGTTTGTCTGTCTCCTTGTTTGTAGATTCAGGCATATATGAATCTGAGTGCCCCGTTTACTTGAAACTCTTGGAACTCTTGCTACCAGGTTTAGTTGTAATGTCATCTACCCTTGTTCTAGTTATAAACTAAACATAGGTGGCTGCAGATTGTTGTTATATTTCTTGTGTGTTCTCATGTCTGTACATGTTTGTTTACTTTCCTTACACTTTCATGAGGAGTGGCTGGCGAATGGTTAAAATGCTTGGCTCTCATGCAGGAAGCCTAGGTTCGAACCGGGGGGGAGGGGGGGGGGGGGGTTGAGACTTTTCTAATTCAGGAAAAATAAAAAATAAAACCGCTTGCACAGTTTGTGGCGAATGCACTAGCTATGTGGCCCTAAATCATCAGGCCAATTTATCCCCCGCCCTGCACCAGCAAAAGGTATCGAATGGCATTATGGACAATTTGTACAACATCACCTCTGTTTCGGCCATCATCCTTGGCGATTCGATGGCTTTTATGGGTGAGCAGGCTTCACATATTACTGTCTTGACCTGTGCTTACTTGACCAACAGGGATTGGTTCCTGTGCTGACTTGACCAACAGGGATTGTTCTTGTGCTAACTTGACCAACAGGGATTGTTCCTGTGCTAACTTAACCAACAGGGATTGTTCCTGTGCTAACTTGACCAACAGGGATTGTTCCTGTGCTAACTTGACCAGCAATGATTGTTCCTGTGCTAACTTGATCAACAGGGATTGTTCCTGTGCTAACTTGACCAACAGGGATTGTTCCTGTGCTAACTTGACCAGCAAGGATTGTTCCTGTGCTAACTTGACCAACAGGGATTGTTCCTGTGCTAACGTGACCAACAGGGATTGTTCCTGTGCTAACTTGACCAACAGAGATTGTTCCTGTGCTAACACCACTCCCCGGAAAGGCTAACCAGGATAACAAATGCCTACAGAAGTCGGATGCGTCAGCCAAAAGACGCAAATATCTCAACCATGCTGTAAATGGGCACAACGCCATTTACATCTCCGAATGAACGCAGAATCAAAGATGATGGAGAAGACACTTTCATGCAATGATGAAAGACGATCAGGCAGACAGTTTCTTTCCTCTATGCTGCATCCTGCAGGTATCACACCCTTGTCAAGTCTCAGTCCGGATGGTAGTCCGGCAGAGTAAATTTTTACATTCGGTAGTTTGCTGTTGCTTTCTTAACGGCATACCACTGTCGCCGCAATCGGTCTTCTACCGAATCATATGTGTCTGTGAACCTCTAGAGTATTACAGGAGTGTTGAACTGCGTTCACATTCCATAACTCACATGCGCCGACTGTGAGTGTGTAACGGGAAACCCCTGACTATCTTTTAGTGCACTTGTAGTAAAAAGCGAGTCCACATTGTAGGTGAACTCCCGCCATCTTGCGTCCATACAACAGCCACCACAGAACATCGGTGTGTCATTCTAGAAGAGCCAACACAATACATCGTTGCGTCATTCTAGAAATCCAACACAGAACATCATTGTGCCATTCTTGACTCCTCATCTAACTGTAAGTGGGCGGGTGTTGTAGAATAATGTGGCTAATTCCCGTGGTTAAACGACTAAACTTATTCTTCTTCTCTTCCACGGTGTACCTCATCGAAGTGTCGGGGTGAGATGTAAAATTTGTTGATGAGCTCTGTCAAGAGCAATATAAAAACTGATGTTTATTTCTGTAAGGCTGTTCTTAATGTCATCACCCCATATTTTTCGAGGTCTTCCCTCGCTCTATACCCGTTGTAACGTTTTAGTGTGGCTCGCTGTGGCGGATAGTACCAGGGCATTCTTGTTAGGTGTCCAAACCACTTCATTTGTTGTTCTTCGATAACCAGTAAGACTGGCTTTATTCCCAGCATTCGTCTGATTTCGTATTCTGTCTTTCATTGAAACTCTTGCAGCTCTTCTAAGGCATTATATCTCTGTTGTCCACAATTTTACGTTCATTGGAGGATGTTAGTGTCCACGTTTGGCACTGACAGTATAGTGTTCGCAAAAAAATAGTTGTGAAAAGATTTACGTTAATACTCCGGGGTATGCGGCGTCCGTGGCTTAGTTGTTGGATTGGATTGGCTTTTTACCCCACCAGGACATCACACAAGCGATAAACACCCGATGACACAAAGTGCCACCATGCGGATGAGGATCACCGTGGAGAGGTCCCAGAAACCGCGTTCAGACATTTGGCCATAATGATGACCTGCCTATATTGCGGCCCCTGGCAAAAGCCAGAGTGGGGCTTCAAATAACAAAAAATAACGTCCTAAGAAGGACGTAAGGAATATTGGCTAAGTTGTTGCTAGTCCGACTCGTAATTCCAACGCACTGCGATCGAAACCCACTGCTGTCTGCGTGGGTTTTTCGTTATGGTACGGGGCGTTGCAGGTCGACCCAGCCTAAAGTGGGTACCAGGACGGCCGGCATAATGCTGACCATATTACCCACCTAACGCCGATTGGTCTGTAAAAATATGGAATGCTCTTCCCTTATGCCCGATGCACCTGAGGCGTGAAAAAGGGATCTTTCCTTTTTTTTTTCAACTCCGGGGAGTATGTCAACAGGGGAGATAGTTGACCCATTACTTGATTAGCTTTGGCACATCTCGAGCTAATTTCTCTGTCCAGTTTTCTGTCGGATGTGAAAATTGCTCCCAAATACTTAAAGTCCTCTGTTTGTCTTACGACTAAACAATGTTGAATAATGAAAATCGACGTATGCAGCCAACGCACGAGATTTACACAGAGAATCTTTTGCCTTTCGCTGGCTTGAAAATCAGCTGTACACACATGTCGTCACCGTAACTGACTCAGAGAGCATGTTGAGAAAGGCGGAGACGGGCATGCTTTGTGCAGAGTGGCAATCATCTCTTCAAAGGTCCCGGTTAGCATCTTTTGGATATTATCGACAGGCCATGCCGGTGTGTTGGGAAATGAGCAGGCAGATAGACTGGCCGGTTCTGCAGCACTTGATGGTGAATTGATGTATGACATGCTGGATGTTGTGAGGGCCCTTTAGGAGCGAATGAACAGTACCGAGGAGCAGACAGATATAAATGGTCTGAGGAGAATGGCGCTGCGAGAAGTTACATGGGGATCTGGTCGACACTCGACACTCAAGGGAAAGGCCAGACGGATATACAGACATTTACTGGTACCATCGGAATTGTACCTCTTCGCTTGCTACTGAAATGGGGACGAAGCTCTTATGTGGGTTCAACATTCAACATAGGATCATTACAGAAAAATGTAAAACTGAACGAAAGGTAGATGAGCGAGCTTCACAATATGACAAACGAAAGGTGAACGTTGCGGCTATAGAGCCTTCATTAGCACATACGTAAATCAAACAAAACCTCTTGATGAATGCCCATTTAAATAACAGTAACACCCATAAACACACCAATACCACTGGATGGTGTTGGGAATAAGCGGTGTCGCAGCAGTCTTGATAGTTTCAGCTTGGAGGCTTGTGGGGTCTTCAAGAACATCCTGTATGCTAATTACAGATTGGACGGCTTCTAGCGACACATGCAGATGTGTGCAAGCGAGACATGAATGCTACAGATATGGCGGTGGATTTGTGTAATTTAAAAAAGAAAACCAGAAAGACAGAAAAAAAGACCTATTGCAAGGATTAGGAGCTGGACGACTAAGGAGAAGCACGTTAATTAAATACGTAATGTGACAACAGAAGGTTAGTTGCGTATCCTTTACAGGACGTTGCAGAACCAACCCCAACAGCCCCTGGCTGTTGTGTGGTTTTTCTAGGCAAAGTTACGTCCAGTAGTTTGCCATTGCTTCTGGACGGTCGGCTTTCTGTATACCACTGCCGAAACCAAAGCAAGGCGCATGGCCCGCAGCGATGTGGCGAAAACGGTCTCGAAAATTCAGAATTCACTTATGGCAGACATTTCTTTAACGCAGGCGGGTCTTGAAGTCACCATCACCATGGGTTGTGATCCCATGCCTCCTAATAGCACTGACGTCTGGAAAGATGACGAAGAGATAAGCCAAAATATAAATCAAATCAACAGCGTGTTTTATCAAATAAACAAAACATGAACCAACTCTACATGTCAGTACAAGTAAAAGTTGAACGAAATAAAACCTTTACCAGCATTACCATTAGAAATAGGCACACTTAACGAGCAATAACATACACACTCAAACACGCGCGCGGGCACACGCACACACACACACACACACACACACACACACACACACACACACACACACGAAATAAATATATCAACAACAAAACTGCAGATCAACGAAAGATACACTGATTCAGAGATAATATGATATTTTTTGTTTTGCATTGCTAAATTTCCAGACGTCAAGCCACCTTTGACCCGGCCACCGGATATCGTCTGCGCTGTTCTTCGAGTCGGCCATATCTAAATAATTGCCGCCCGTGAAATTCCTCGTCATCACCGGCAGAAAACCATATGTCAGTGTGTTGGAACTCAACATAAACCATCGCATGCCTTTCCTTCGGGATACCCTATAATTGCCCGTAGTTGGGATAATTCTACTTCGCTGCCAAGCAGATTCCTGACACAACCTAGCAAAGCTTATGTGAACTTGTATGTAGGTGACCAAATCTGGAAAGGGGGAGGGAACGGGTCAATTGGCTAATTTTGTCTGCAGTTCTGCCAGAAGTTTCTGAAGTAATACTGTTGTAAGCAAAATGAAGAGATCTCAAGTTTTAGGGCCTGAGGGGAAAAATTATGGGCTATTTCTGAGTGCGTCACGGTGGGATATGCTCAGTAGAAATCCCTCATATCAGTCAGCCATGTCGAGCAAATCGCGCCCCAATCTGTTGTCGTCACCTTACGAATGGAGCAAGACCCATAGGCTGCACAAAAAGATCTACCCGAGCAGAATCAATACTCTGTGGTACCGACGGTAAGTGTTGGTTGTCTGACACCATCTCATGTTCCTCTGTGGTACCGACGATAAGTGTTGGTTGTCTGACGCCATCTAATAGTCCTCTGTGTTTTACCCAGGCCTATCGGGAAGCTAAGGACACTTAAAGATGTCATGGATGTCGCAAGAGGCCACTCAGCCGCCTCGGTGTGGGACTGGATACCTTCTCACGTAGTCGGCTTTATTTCACAAAGAGAACCGATTTCTCACATAAAAAGAGGTCATCTACATCTGTGGTCAGTCACGAGAAGGGGACAACAGGAGAACATCGTGACCATAGGAAAGTTTGAGGGAGAGAGTGGCAGAGAGAAGGGGTGAATGTGGCAGAGAGAGAGAGAGAGAGAGAGAGAGAGAGAGAGAGAGAGAGAGAGAGAAGTGACAGACAGGAAGAGGGGAAAGCATGATAGAGAAAGAGAAGGAGAGAGGAAAAGATTGACAGAGAGAGAGAGAAAGTGGCACAGAGAGAGAGAGAGAAAGGAGAAAGAGTGGCAGAAAGAGAGGTGGGGATGGCAGAGACAGGAAAAGGGGAAAGCGTGATAGAGAAAGAGACAAACGGAGATAGAAGGAGTGGCAAAGAAAAAAGATAGAAAGAGAGAGAGGGAGAGAGGGTAGCAGAGAGAGAGAGAGAGAGAGAGAGAGAGAAAGGGTAGCAGAGAGAGATAGAGAAAAAGGGTAGCAGAGAGAGAGAGAAAGAAACAGTGGCAGATAGAAAAACAGTGGCAGAGAACGAGAGAGTGGCAGAGAGGAAGAAGGAGTTGCACAGAGAGAGAAGAAATGACAGAGAGAAAGAGTAGGAGAGAGAGAGAGAGAGAGAGAGAGAGAGAGAGAGAGAGAGAGAGAGAGAGAGAACGTGGCAGAGATAGATGTGGGAGTGGCAGAGAAAGAGGGAGAAGAGTGATAGAGAAAAATACAAACGGAGAGAGGAGGAGGGTGGCAAAGATACTCATAAAGAGAGAGAGAAAGGGAGACAGAGAGAGAGAGAAATAGTGGTAGAGAGAGAAAGAGTGGTAGAAAAAGAGAGAGAAAAAAGTGGCAGAGGGAGATAACAAGTGGCAGAGAGAGAAGGATTGGTAAAGAAAGAAAAAGTGGCAGAGAGAAAGAGTGAGAAAGGGAGCGTGGTAGAGACCGAGAGTGTGGTAGAAAGCAAGAGAGAGGTAGACAGACAGACAGACAGACAGACAGACAGACAGACAGACAGACAGACAGACATACATACAGACAGACAGACAGACAGACAGACAGACAGACAGACAGACAGACAGACAGACAGACAGACAGACAGACAGAGAAAGAGAAAGAAAATGCTGGACAGTCTGACATCATAGTATTGCAGAATGTTTATATCGGAGATGACTGACAGTACACGAGACACACAGCTGTGGATAGACAGGACAACCAGCTCCAGACGGCGTGCATGCTCATCAAGACCAACATCCGGTCATTAAACAAACACACACGCTGTCAGACAAACAGTGAAGACACGCTGTCAGACAAACAGTGAAGACACGCTGTCAGACAAACAGTGAAGACACGCTGTCAGACAAACAGTGAAGACACGCTTTCAGACAAACAGTGAAGTCACGCTCTCAGACAAACAGTGAAGTCACGCTCTCAGACAAACAGTGAAGGCACGCTGTCAGACAAACAGTGAAGGCACGCTCTCAGACAAACAGTGAAGTCACGCTCTCAGACAAACAGTGAAGACACGCTGTCAGACAAACAATGAAGACACGCTGTCAGACAAACAATGAAGACACGATGTCAGACAAACAGTGAAGACACGATGTCAGACAAACAGTGAAGACACGATGTCAGACAAACAGTGAAGACACGCTGTCAGGCAAACAGTGAAGACACGCTGTCAGACAAACAGTGAAGACACGCTGTCAGACAAACAGGGAAGACACGCTGTCAGACAAACAGGGAAGTCACGCTGTCAGAAACACGGCGAAAACACGCTGTCAGACAAACAGTAAAGACACGCTGTCAGACAAACAATGAAGACACGCTGTCAGACAAACAGTGAAGACACGCTGTCAGACAAACAGTGAAGACACGCTCTCAGACAAACAGTGAAGACACGCTGTCAGACAAACAGTGAAGACACGCTGTCAGACAAACAGGGAAGTCACGCTGTCAGAAACACGGCGAAAACACGCTGTTAGACAAACAGTGAAGACACGCTGTCAGACAAACAATGAGGACACGCTGTCAGACAAACAGTGAAGACAACTGTCAGACAAATAATGATTTGTTGAACGGTTGACAACCTGATTTAACTGAGAAGTGCCCCTGGAGCTTAGGCGTTGCGAACGCGCTGAAGAGCGGGGTTCGGTCCCAGCTGCGAGCAATTTAGAAGCAGAACGTCTTGTGTTGGTTTCGACAGTGCCACCGAGAACTGACCGTTTATGAAGCAGTGGTACACTACTGAAGGTAAACAAATTGCCTGGAAAAACTACAATTGCCAAAAACCGCTAGGGTTCGTTCTGCAATGTCATGTAAAGGATCTGAAGCTAACTTTAGGGAGCTGCAGAGGCGATGTACAGGTCAACAGACAGAATCAACTGGATAGATGGGACACACGCGAACACACTTAGACAAATATAGACAACATGCAAACAACACATGCACATAATACTATCACCGCCATAATGGATTGTCGCTCTGGCTGATGCGGCAGTTTGTGTTTCCACAACAGAAGGGGTAGAAGGGGAATAATGGCCAGGCGGACTTAAGGTGATGGCACGGAGGAAGGTTATCAGTAGAAGTGGGTGATTGAATTTGTTGACAGCTGCCAGACTCATTAGATAGACAGACAGTTGTGCCTAAATATACTGATTAACTGAGTCATGTAATGTATAGACACTGCAAACAGACACAGACACAGAAAGACAGACGGATGGATGGATGGATGGCGATCCATCAATTGATGAATAGATGGATGGCGATCGATTGATCGATGGCTGGAGAGATGCCGATGGATCGATTGACAGGCACAGACACAGAAAGACAGACGGATGGATGGATGGATGGCGATCCATCAATTGATGGATAGATGGATGACGATCGATTGATCGATGGCTGGATGGATGCCGATGGATCGATTTCTGGGTAGATGGATTGGTGAATGGATGGATGGATACAAACATTCTTACACAAACATTCTTCACCAGATATGTCAACAAACTACCCGAAGACGAACAGATTGACTTCCAGCCGTTCGATGAGGTTCAGAGAGTCGACGAAGGTCAGTCAGATGTTTAGTCTATGATATGTAGGATTGAAACTTTCAGTCACCGAATGTTCTAGCGTAAGATATAATCATTTCACCACTTAATGTCCGGGTATAGAATGTAACCACTAACATCATAAATGTTCTTGGTTTGATCAAAAGTGAAGGACCCTTTTCAGGCCAGCGGCGGGCTGGGAATGTGCCATAATGTTTCTCCGGCATTTGCCCTAATTTTCTGTTCTCTCCTAGATTTTCATTTGCTTCCGTACCTTCTATCTACTCATGTAACACAGAGCATCGTCCCACTGACGCCAGGTTGTTCCGCCCTTTGGCCCAGGCGTGCAACTCACTCCAATTTGTCCTAATTATATAAATCTCTCTCCAGTTACGTTTTACTTGTAAGGAAACCATTTAGCAGTGTTATTATTTCTACTGAGCTAGCGGGAAGCGAAGCAGGAAAGGGAGAAGAGCAAAGTAATGTGGTTACGATAACAAGTAGTTTCCCGCTGGACTGCTAAAACAGGAAAGATAAAGAATAGGGTTCCTGTGATGCAGGAACCATGAAATATTGACACTGGCTCAGGCGACGAATATGCGAATAGTGAATTACTCAACGACTACAACAATTTACAACTATGTAGGCAGCCTGCCACGTCATGTAAAATATACGCAGCTTACTTGAACCTATTGTACTCGACGACATTAATTAACTGTGTCGCCTACTGTACTCTCAGATATCGCCCTGCAATACTTCTATGGAGAAGATGGCCACCTTGAGGACAGTCGAATTGACCGAACTGACATGGTTGAGAAGAGGCGATCGGCCCTGCAAAGGTACAACGTGCTCAAGGAACAGGAGGAGAGGGACAGAGCCATGCAAGAGTCAGTATACAAATCATTCATTTATTCATTCATTCATTCATTCATTTATTCATTCATTCATTCATTCATTCATTCATTCATTCATTCATTCATTCATTCATTCATTCATTCATTCGTTCATTCATTCACCATCATCCTCATAAGTACATGTACATACATACATGCATACATACATACACACACACACGCACGCACGCACGCACGCACACACACATTACATACATACATACATACATACACACACACACACACACACACACACACATACATACATACATACATACATACATACATACATACATACATACATACATACATACATACATACATACATACATACATACATACATACATACATACATACATACATACATACATACATACATACATACATACACACACACACACACACACACACACACACACACACACACACACACACACACACACACACACACACACACACACACACACACACACACACACACACACACACACACACACACACACACACACACACACACACACACACACACACACACACACACACACACACACACACACACACACACACACACACACACACACACACACACACACACACACACACACACACACACACACACACACACACACACACACACACACACACACACACACACACACACACACACACACACACACACACACACACACACACACACACACACACACACACACACACACACACACACACACACACACACACACACACACACACACACACACACACACACACACACACACACACACACACACACACACACACACACACACACACACACACACACACACACACACACACACACACACACACACACACACACACACACACACACACACACACACACACACACACACACACACACACACACACACACACACACACACACACACACACACACACACACACACACACACACACACACACACACACACACACACACACACACACACACACACACACACACACACACACACACACACACACACACACACACACACACACACACACACACACACACACACACACACACACACACACACACACACACACACACACACACACACACACACACACACACACACACACACACACACACACACACACACACACACACACACACACACACACACACACACACACACACACACACACACACACACACACACACACACACACACACACACACACACACACACACACACACACACACACACACACACACACACACACACACACACACACACACACACACACACACACACACACACACACACACACACACACACACACACACACACACACACACACACACACACACACACACACACACACACACACACACACACACACACACACACACACACACACACACACACACACACACACACACACACACACACACACACACACACACACACACACACACACACACACACACACACACACACACACACACACACACACACACACACACACACACACACACACACACACACACACACACACACACACACATACATACATACATACATACATACATACATACATACATACATACATACATACATACATACATACATACATACATACATACATACATACATACATACATACATACATACATACATACATACATACATACATACATACATACATACATACATACATACATACATACATACATACATACATACATACATACATACATACATACATACATACATACATACATACATACATACATACATACATACATACATACATACATACATACATACATACATACATACATACATACATACATACATACATACATACATACATACATACATACATACATACATACATACATACATACATACATACATACATACATACATACATACATACATACATACATACATACATACATACATACATACATACATACATACATACAGACAGACAGACAGACATACATACATACATACATACAGACATACACACACACAGACATGTATGCATGCATGCATACAGACAGACAGACAGACAGACAGACAGACAGACAGACAGACACACACACACACACAGACACATAGAGGTAGACAGACAGACATACAGATAGATAGACAGACAGACTTGATGTATAGGATTGAATCATGTACAGCATGAAAGAAAACAGTGTGTTATATCGAAACACATAATCTACCCGCTGGTCGCTTGCAACTTTAAATTTCTCTATTGTCATTTTAATTTGAAGCTGAAGTCCTTTTGCTAATATATATATATATATATATATATATGTGTGATGTGTGTGTGTGTGTGTGTGATGTGTGTGATGTGTGTGTGTGTGATGTGTGTGTTTGTTTGTGTGTGTGTGTGTGTGTGTGTGTTTATAAAGCATCTGCCGCTGTAACTGCGCTAACAATGGATCTATTGCTTGTAAAATCATGGCCAAGTTTCCTGTACATTTCTGACTGTAGGGAAGAAGCCAGCAAGATCGGGTTATCCTGGTACAGCAGGTAAGTTTCTCCAGTGGTTTCATCCCTGGTAGGTTGTTAGTTCAGTTCCTTCAAAATATGTTGATTATGTTGTTTGTCTGCCAATGATAGGTAGGTAGGTGCTTTCCTTGAAAAAATCGTCACGAAAGGGAGCTTTAGGTTATAATTGTGACAAAGGTATGTGCGCCATATAAAATGGCTTAGCATGGCACGCCACCAAGAGCCATGAAATCGACTCCTGCAGCGTTGATGCGATCAAAGGAAACAGACCCAAATACTGTCCCGACGAGGTGGTCTAATGGCGAGCCAAAGGACGACCCGCTCGCCGATGCTGCCTATAGTGGTCTGATCATTTTTCTATATAATCTGATCTCTGAATCACCTCTGGCTGACCCACTGATGGTCGATGTCTCACCCCTGTGCCCCATGACAGACTCACTGATGGTCGATGTCTCACCTCTGTGCCCCAGGACTGACCCACTGATGGTCGATGTCTCACCCCTGTGCCTCAGGACTGACCCACTGATGGTCGATGTCTCTCCCCTGTGCCCCATGACTGACCTACTGCTGGTCGATGTCTCACCTCTGTGCCCCAGGACTGACCCACTGATGGTCAATGTCTCACCCCTGTTCCCCAGGACTGACCCACTGATGGTCGATGTCTCACCCCTGTGCCCCAGGACTGACCCACTGATGGTCGATGTCTCACCCCTGTGCCCCATGACTGACCTACTGCTGGTCGATGTCTCACCTCTGTGCCTTAAGACTAACCCATAGATGGTCGATGCCAGACCCCTGTGCGCCAGGACTAGCCCATTGATGATCGATATGTCACCCCTGTGCCCCAGGACTGACCCACTAATGGTCAATGCCAGACCCCTGTGTCCCAGGACTGACCCACTGATGGTCGATGCCTGATCCCTCTGCCCCAGGACTGGCCCATTGATGGTCGATGTCTCACCCCTGTGCCCCAGGACTGACCCACTGATGGTCGATGCCTGACTCCTGTGCATCAGGACTGACTGACCCACTGATGGTCGATGCCTGACTCCTGTGCATCAGGACTGGCTGACCCAGAGATGGTCGATGTCTCACCCCTGTGCCCTAGGACTGGCTGACCCACTGATGGTCGATGCCTGACTACTCCTGTGCATCTGGACTGGCTGACCCACTGATGGTCGATGCCTGACTACTCCTGTGCATCAGGACTGGCTGACCCACAGATGGTCGATGCCTGACTCCTGTGCATCAGGACTGGCTGACCCACTGACGGTCGACGTCTGACCCCTGTGCCCCAGGACTGGCTGTTCACAACTCAGCTGCCCCATTTAACACAGATATGCTGCATCTATGTTTATGTTTGTTTTTTTTTTTTTTTTGTTTATCCAGAGAAATTCTCCTAAATCTAGGAACATTCTTCACTTAATTGCTTTAATATATCCCCCATCTGACACTATCAAGGTACCCGCATGCTGAATTCATAAAAAATATTTTTAATTGTTAGTGAATTTCCTGCTTCATCATTATGGGAGTGTGTTTCCTGAGAATGATTTGGACGATGTTGATGATGGTTAATGATGATATGCAACTGGTAAGGATCATGATGATATGTAACTGGTAAGGATGATGAAATACAACTGCTAAGGATAATGATGACATGGAACTGGTGAGGATGATGAAATGCAACTGGTAAGGATAATGAAGACATGCAACTGGTAAGGATAATGATGACATGCAACTGGTAAGGATAATGAAGACATGCAACTGGTAAGGATAATGATGACATGCAACTGGTAAGGATAATGATGACATGAAACTGGTAAGGATACTAATGACATGCAACTGGTAATATGATGAAATGCAACTGGTAAAGATAATGAAGACATGCAACTGGTAAGGATAATAATGACATGCAACTGGTAAGGATAATGATGACAAGCAACTGGTAAGGATAATGATGACAAGCAACTGGTAAGGATAATGATGATATGAAACTGACAATGAAAAGAAGAAAAAAAAAAACACACGAATGTAGCCATGTCTGACTTACAGTTGAATAAGCGCACAGGTAATCAACAGTGGCAAGACCAGTCTCACTTTGGCACAGGACAGTTTCGCAGGAAATTATGTGACGTCACTGTAAAAGAAAACGTTGACTTTCAGGTCGACCCAGCCTGAAGTGGGCACTAGGTAAAGTCCTGGGAAGTAAAGGCGTTATGTTGATCACATCACCCACCGAGTTCCGATTGGGTCTCTATAGCATATAGGTCTAGCCCTATATGCCCAATACGAATAAAGGTTAGAAAACGGTCCTTTACCTAATTCGGCGACAACTGACATAGGTACCGACCGCTCACATGGGAGCACCGATGGATTGGTACAAATATAGAGCTAGCTAACACCACATGTCGAATACCCGTTCAGGTTTTGGAATGGGTAATTTAGTTATGGGACCTGAATACGACTACAACTGGATTACTGCAAGTCCGAATTCCTAGTCTGTTACATATCGGGTTGAATGGTACTTGTCTGAAGCAAGTTAAACAATTTGACTACATAGGACGTGTATTATCAGAAAACGAGAGAATAAATGGGGGAAAAGAAACAAGATACCAACGAGCCAGTGCACTTATTTACCAAATGACACCCTGATTAAGACAGCCACAGAAAAGTTAAACATCAGGAAACAGATTATAAACAGCATATTCATACCAACACCATGCGATGAGTACCACAAAACACATTTTCACAGGCTTGTCAGTCAGTCAATGTCTTCTTTACAGAACTTCACGGCACACCGGACAGTCTCTTTTTTTTCTAACCAATTCTCCAGCCCTATGTGCTTTCGTAGACAATGCATCTTCAGTGTTCTGTATCCACCTTCTCAACGGTTGGTCCCTGCCTGGTCTTCCGGAAACGAGCAAACGCTAACCTGTGTAAAATGAATACATGTCAAATGTGACGTCTGACCGAAGCTGGAGACTTCAAAATGCGAGACAAAATATGAAATGATAACAGCAGACAGACTGTGTGAGCCACACCCACCAACACCGGTAGCCAGAACAACTACTAACATAGGCGCTAGACACGACAAGATCTTAACAAAAGGTGGCCCTAGGAGAAACTAGATGAATGATATTAAAGATCTTCTACTTCGACACAGAATGACAATAGCCATTGTTGCACATCAAAAAATGGATCGCACATTGTTCCTCCCCATGTCGCTTAACGGCAAAAAGTGGATATTGATGATGTTGACTTAGATGTTAATGTATGTGCTCACATACATTCCTACTCGTCCCCATTTACTGACAGCGTCATGAAGGCCCTCAAAAACCGGGCCACTTCAGATTTCGGCGCCACCACGGCAGAGAAGAAAGTGTTGACTCCCCTGATTGAGTTCTTGCACAAAATGTCGTTGAAGAAAAGAAGACAAATCCGCCACGTGGTTCTGAAACCGGGCTCCAAATGGAAGCTGCTGACCAATCCCGCCGTGTCTCGCAAAATTATGTTCATGTTCAAGAACCTCAGAACGGAAGAGGTGAGCAACTCTTTGGTCACAGAATGTCACTGTGTAATTTATTTTCTCTGTTTTCTCCGCTGTGTGTTTACCGTCTTGGTGTGTACGGCTCTGCTCCATGACAGCTGTGTGTGTTTACCGTGTCAGTGTATGCGGCTCTGCTCTATGACAGCTGTGTGTGTTTACCGTGTCAGTGTATGCGGCTCTGCTCCATGACAGCTGTGTGTGTTTACCGTGTCAGTGTGTGGGGCTCTGCCCCATGACAGCTGTGTGTGTTTACCGTGTCAGTGTGTACGGCTCTGCCCCATGACAGCTGTGTGTGTTTACCGTGTCAGTTTGTGCTGCTCTGCCCCACGACAGCTGTGTGTGTTTACCGTGTCAGTGTGTGCGGCTCTGCTCCATGACAGCGGTGTGTGTTTACCGTGTCAGTGTGTACGGCTCCGCTCCATGACAGCTGTGTGTGTTTACCGTCTCAGTGTGTACGGCTCTGCTCCATGACAGCTGTGTGTGTTTACCGTCTCAGTGTGTACGGCTCTGCTCCATGACAGCTGTGTGTGTTTACCGTGTCAGTGTGTGCTGCTCTGCTCTATGACAGCTGTGTGTGTTTACCGTGTCAGTGTGTACGGCTCTGCTCCATGACAGCTGTGTGTGTTTACCGTGTCAGTGTGTACGGCTCTGCTCCATGACAGCTGTGTGTGTTTACCGTGTCAGTGTGTACGGCTCCGCTCCATGACAGCTGTGTGTGTTTACCGTGTCAGTGTGTACGGCTCTGCCCCATGACAGCTGTGTGTGTTTACCGTGTCAGTTTGTGCTGCTCTGCCCCACGACAGCTGTGTGTGTTTACCGTGTCAGTGTGTACGGCTTTGCCCCATGACAGCTGTGTGTCTTTACCGTGTCAGTGTGTACGGCTCTGCCCCATGACAGCTGTGTGTGTTTACCGTGTCAGTTTGTGCTGCTCTGCCCTACGACAGCTGTGTGTGTTTACCGTGTCAGTGTGTACGGCTCTGCTCCATGACAGCTGTGTGTGTTTACCGTGTCAGTGTGTACGGCTCTGCCCCATGACAGCTGTGTGTGTTTACTGTGTCAGTGTGTACGGCTCGGCTCAATGACAGCTGCGTTTATGTAAGTGTGACGAAACGATAGCACAGCGCTTTCTCAGATTGTTCCCAAAGTTGCCATCGTTCGAATGCAGTGTGAATTTGTAACAGTAGCCGTGAACTGATTACTTCAGTAGCTGTAAACTTGCAACAGTAGTCGTAAACTGACTGCTACAGTAGCCGTAAACTGATTGCTACCGTAGCCGTAAACTGATTAATACAGTAACCGTAAAAGGATTGCTGCAGTAGCCGTTAACTGATTGCTACAGTAGCCGTGAACTGATTGCTACAGTAACCGTGAACTGATTGATACAGTAACCGTGAAAGGATTGACTGACTGACCGACTTTCTACCCCACTAGGACATCACACAAGCGATAAACACCCGATGACACAAAGTGCCACCATGTGGATGAGGATCGCCGTGGAGAGGTCCCAGAAACCGCGTTCAGACATTTGGCCATTTTTATGGCCTGCCTATATTGCGGCCTCTGGCAAAAGCCAGAGTGGGGCTTCAAATAACAAAAAATTACGTCCTAAAAAGGACGTAAATATATATAGTATTTTATATATGGATAAGAAAGGATTGCTGCAGTAGCCGTTAACTGATTGCTACAGTAGCCGTGGACTGATTGCTACAGTAGCCGTGAACTGATTGCTACAGTAGCCGTGAACTGATTGCTACAAGAAGCCGCAAACTGACTGCTACAGTAGCTAAGAATTGATTGCTGCAGTAGCCGTGAACTAACTGCTACAGTAGCCGCGAACTGGCTGCTGCAGTAGCCGTGAACTGACTGCTACAGTAGCCGCGAACTGGCTGCTACAGTAGCCGCGAACTGACTGCTACAGTAGCCGTGAACTGGCTGCTACAGTAGCCGTGAACTGACTGCTACAGTAGCCGCGAACTGGCTGCTACAGTAGCCGTGAACTGACTGCTATAGTAGCCGTGAACTGACTGCTACAGTAGCCGTGAACTGACTGCTACAGTAGCCGCGAACTGGCTGCTACAGTAGCCGTGAACTGACTGCTACAGTAGCCGTGAACTGACTGCTACAGTAGCCGTGAACTGACAGAACGCCATCTCTGTTTCAGAACCAAGCTCGGTTCAGGAAGATTATAAACCTGGTCGTCTGCGCCATGCGCTTCATCATCGTCATCAGAATTATGTGAGTTCGGATATCATCAGTCTCATCATCATTGTCGTCGTCATCGTTGTCGTCATAATCTACACTGTCTATCAAAACCACCATCTTCATCATCGTCATCAGAATTATGTGAGTTCGGATATCATCAGTCTCATCATCATTGTCGTCGTCATCGTTGTCGTCATAATCTACACTGTCTATCAAAACCACCATCTTCATCATATCAACATCGTTAACTTCGCCATCATTGTGGAAACCACCATCGTTATTCCTACAGCCGTCATCATCATCAACAAAGTCATTTCATCATAACAGCATTATAAACATTGTCATTATAACCGTCAACAGCGTCATCGTCGTCTTCATCCTCAAAATCAACATTATAATGATGGGATCAACGTCAATAGTATCACCGTCACAGCGGTCTTGTCCTCATTGTTAACCCCCTTCTCAAAGCCAAATCCAGCGTTTTCAAACTTATCATTATCATTATCTTCATCACCATCATGGTCTGTCCCAACACCCCCACCCCATCCCACCCCTCCCAATTTTTGGACGAGCGTTCTGAAGGATTAACATCTCAAGTATGAGAATTACACAGCTACAGATCTGTGAAAGCTCGTTCAACAACACAGCTACAGATCTGTGAAAGCTCGTTCAACCACACAGCTACAGATCTGTGAAAGCTCGTTCAACCACACAGCTACAGATCTGTGAAAGCTCGTTCAACAACACAGCTACAGATCTGTGAAAGCTCGTTCAACCACACACAAAAATGTAAAGAACCCTTGTCCACGCCGTCTGGCGCATGTTCCTGTTCTATAAGGCGTGACCTATATTTTAAAGCCCAGATCGGCACTAGGTGGATGAATTGATCAATATCACGACCGCCGCCTTTACTTCCCTCGCCTTTACCTGGTATCCGTTTACAGCTGGATCAAACTGGGAGATAAGGTCATTTTTTAAAGAAAAGCAAGTCCGGCTACGTCAGAACCCATGATTTTCAGATCCCTAGGCGAGCGTCTATAGGCTACACCACGGCGGCTCCCAACATGTTACAGTGAGGCACCACACAACGGTTATTGGGTCACCTGCAGTCCAGCGTGGTGGGTGGGCTGTACAGCACAGTTATAATGAGGTGAGGCACCACACAACGGTTATTGGGTCACCTGCAGTCCAGCGTGGTGGGTGGGCTGTACAGCACAGTTATAATGAGGTGAGGCACCACACAACGGTTATTGGGTCACCTGTAGTCCAGCGTGGAGGATGGGCTGTACAGTACAGTTACAGTGAGGTACCACACAACGGTTATTGGGTCACCTGTAGTCCACACACACATGTAGTCCAGCGTGGTGGGTGGGTTGTACAGTAGTTACAGTGAGGTGAGGCATCACACAACGGTTATTGGGTCACCTGTAGTTCACACACATGTAGTCCAGCGTGGTGGGTAGGTTGGTTGTACAGCACAGTTACAGTGAGGTGAGGTATCACCTGTTATTGGGTCACCTGTAGTCAAGTGTGCTGGGTGGGCTGTACTGTCATCGTCAGTAGTAGTTTCTGTAGAAGCAGCGGTGGTGTGATGATAAAGTTGATGACATTGGTGGGGATACAGTTGACGATGTTGGGGATCATACAGTTGACGATATTGGGGATTATACAGTTGATAGTACTGGTGGTGATACAGTTGACGATGTTGCGGATTATACTGTTAACGATGTTGGAAATGATACAGTAGACGATGTTGGGGGTGATACAGTTGATAATATGGGGGGGGGGGGGTTGTTGGGGGTTTGGATATATAGTTGACGATGTTGGTGACGATACAGTTGATGATGTTGATGGTGATACAGTTGACGGTGTTTGGAGTGATACAGTTGATGATATTAGGGGGGGGGGGGATACAGTTGACGATGTTGGGGGTGATACAATTGGTAATGTTGGAAATGACACCGTCTGTAATGTTGCTATGACTATGTTGCGTGTGCCGCAAGCAGATCTGGTTCCACGAAAGTGATACTCAAAGAACTAGATAACTTCAGCAAACAACAACGAGAAGGGAGCAGCAGACGATCTGCAATTGTCAGCAGGAAGAAGATGTTCGATCCTGCCAGATACACGTTTAAAGAAGTACGTAATATCTTCTTACTATTATTCTTAGGGAAGCCAATTAGGCAGGTTCCTTGTTTTAATATCAGTTCTTAGGGAAGCCAATTAGGCAGGTTCCCTGTTTTAACTTCAGTTCTTGCGGCAGCTATTGAGGCTGGTTCCTTGTTCCAATATCAGTTCTTAGGGCAGCCAAAGAGGCAGGTTCCTTGTTCTAATATCAGTTCTTAGGGCAGCCAATGAGGCAGGTTCCCTCTTCTAACTTCAACTCTTAGGGCAGCCAATGAGGCAGGGTCCCTCTTCTAACTTCAACTTTTAGGGCAGCCAATGAGGCAGGTTCCTTGTTCTAATATCAGTTCTTAGGGCAGCCAATGAGGCAGGTTCCCTGTTTTAACTTCAGTTCTTACGGCAGCTAATGAGGCAGGTTCCTTGTTCTAATTTCAGTTCTTAACGCAGTCAGTGAGGCATTTTCCCTGTTCTAATTGTGTATCATAGCGCAGTCAGTGACACATGTTCCTGTTCCTATTGTGTATCTTAGCGCAGTCAGTGACACATATACCTGTTTTAATTGTGTATCTTAGCGCAGTCAGTTACACATGTTCCTGTTCTAATTGTGTATCTTAACGCAGTCAGTGACACATGTTCCTGTTCTAATTGTGTATCTTAGCGCAGTCAGTGACACATGTTCCTGTTCTAATTGTGTATCTTAGCGCAGTCAATGACACATGTTCCTGTTCTTATTGTGTATCTTAACGCAGTCAGTGACACATGTTCCTGTTCTAATTTTGTATCTTAGAGCAGTAAAGTGACGCATGTTCCTGTTCTAATTGTGTATCTTAGAACAGTCAGGGACGCATGTTCCTGTTCTAATTTTGTATCTTAGAGCAGTAAAGTGACGCATGTTCCTGTTCTTATTGTGTATCTTAGCGCAGTCAGTGACACATGTTCCTGTTCTAATTTTGTATCTTAGAGCAGTAAAGTGACGCATGTTCCTGTTCTAATTGTGTATCTTAGAGCAGTCAGGGACGCATGTTCATGTTCTTCGTGTGTGTTCTTACTGTCCCCCAGCTTTAGTTGTGATTTGCGTTCTCATTGTCCCTCAGCTGTAGTTGTGATCTGCGTTCTCATTGTCCTTCAGCTGTAGTTGTGATCTGCGTTCTCATTGTCCCTCAGCTGTAGCTGTGATCTGCGTTCTAATTGTACCCCAGCTGTAGTTGTGATCTATATTCTCATTGTTCCCCAGCTGTAGTTGTGATCTGCGTTCTCATTGACCCCCCCCCCCCCCCCCGCTGTAGTTGTGATCTGCGTTCTCATTGTCTCCCAGCTGTAGTTGTGATCTGCGTTCTCATTGTCCCCCAGCTGTAGTTGTGATCTGCGTTCTCATTGTCCCCCAGCTGTAGTTGTCATCTGCGTTCTCATTGTCACCCAGCAGTAGTTGTCATCGACGTTCTCATTGTCCCCAAGCTGTAGTTGTGGTCTGCGTTCTCATTGTCCTCTACCTGTAGTTGTCATCTGCGTTCTCATTGTCCCCCAGCTGTAGTTGTGATCTGCCTTGTCATTGTTCCCCCAGTTACAAATCCCATTCGAGACGATGCTGACGCTGACCAAGCCATGGTACGTGCGAACCGAGAAAGAAATCGACAAGGTAAGTGCGGCCTTGGGTTGTCGTACAGACCAGGAGAAGTACTGAAGATCTGGGTGCAGGTTTTGTTTATAACAGATAGAGATGTAGTTCTGCAATATGTGGCTTTTTAAGAAGTGGGGAAAAGGAGGTCGGGGGGGGGGGGGGGATAAAGATAGAGAGCGATAGAAATAGAGAAGGGGAGATGAGAACAGAGAGCGAACAGAAAAAAAGCTAATGTCCCCCCCTAGTTACTGTCTGAACTGTGTCTCTATCTCCCCTCCCTCCTCCTCCCGGTTATGGCTGTACTTTACTCCGTATCTCTGTCCTCACAAGTTACTGTCTGTACCGTGTCTCTACAGGTACTGTCTGTACCATGTCTCTACAGTTACTGTCTGTACCATGTCTCTACAGTTACTGTCTGTACCATGTCTCTACAGTTACTGTCTGTACCGTGTCTCTACAGGTACTGTCTGTACCGTGTCTCTACAGGTACTGTTTTGCCGTGTCTTTATATTCTACAGGTACTGTCTGTACCATGTCTCTATATTCTACAGGTACTGTCTCTACTGTGTCTCTACAGGTGCTGTCTATACTGTTTCTACAGGTGCTGTCTGTGCCGTGTCTCTATATCCTATAGGTACTGTTTGTACCGTGTCTTTAAAGTACTGTCTGTACCGTGTCTCTACAGGTACTGTCTGTACCGTGTCTCTCTACAGGTACTGTCTGTATCGTGTCTCTACAGGTACTGTCTGTACCGTGTCTCTACAGGTACTGTCTGTACCGTGTCTCTACAGGTACTGTCTGTACCGTGTCTCTACAGGTACTGTCTGTACCGTGTCTCTACAGGTACTGTCTGTACCGTGTCTATACAGGTACTGTCTGTACCGCGTCTCTACAGGTACTGTCTGTACCGTGACTCTACAGGTACTGTCTGTACCGTGTCTCTACAGGTACTGTCTGTACCGTGTCTCTACAGGTACTGTCTATACCGTGTCTCTACATGTAATGTCTGTACCGTGTCTCTACAGATACTGTCTGTACCGTGTCTCTACAGGTACTGTCTGTACCGTGTCTTTACATGTACTGTCTGTACCGTGTCTCTTCAGGTTCTGTCTGTACCGTGTCTTTACAGGAACTGCCTGTACCGTGTTTCTTCGGGTACTGTCTGTACCGTGTCTTTACAGGAACTGTCTGTGCCGTGTTTCTACAGGTACTGTCTGTACCGTGTCTTTACAGGAACTGTCTGTACCGTGTTTCTACAGGTACTGTCTGTACCGTGTCTCTAAAGGTGCTGTCTGTACCGTGTCTCTACAGGTACTGTCTGTACCGTGTCTCTACAGGTGCTGTCTGTACCGTGTCTCTACAGGTACTGTCTGTATCGTGTCTCTACAGGTACTGTCTGTACCGTGTCTCTACAGGTACTGTCTGTACCGTGTCTCTACAGGTACTGTCTGTACCGTGTCTCTACAGGTACTGTCTGTACCGTGTCTCTACAGGTACTGTCTGTACCGTGTCTCTACAGGTACTGTCTGTACCGTGTCTCTACAGGTACTGTCTGTACCGTGTCTCTACAGGTACTGTCTGTACCGTGTCTCTGCAGGTACTGTCTGTACCGTGTCTCTACAGGTACTGTCTGTACCGTGTCTCTACAGGTACTGTCTGTACCGTGTCTCTACAGGTACTGTCTGTACTGTGTCTCTACAGGTACTGTCTGTACCGTGTCTCTACAGGTACTGTCTGTACCGTGTCTCTACAGGTACTGTCTGTTCCGTGTCTCTACAGGTACTGTCTGTACCGTGTCTCTATATCCAACTGGTACTGTCTGTACCGTGTCTCTATATCCTACAGGTATTGTCTGTACAGTGTCTCTATATCCTACAGGTACTGTCTGCAAAAAAGAAATTCATAATCTGCCTAAACTGTTTGATCACTGGTATTGTGAGATCTAATAGGCTGAACTGGCTTGGGCATATTGAGAGAATGTCAGATGACAGAGAGGCAAAAACTATATAGATAAGAGCGCTGAATCGTCGTAGACCACGAGACAGACTAAGAAAACAATGGAAAGATAATGTCCACACAGACCTGCAAACACATGGTGTCACCAACATAAAAGAAAAGGCCGACCAGAGAGATGGGTGGAGGCGGGTGATATCTGCAGCAATGAACCTCAAGGACTCGGAAGAAAAGGACAAAGTAAATTAATATCTGTACACTGTCTCTACTTCCCCCCCCCTTTTCCCCTTTCTAAGTACTGACCTGCAAACACATGGTGTCACCAACATAAAAGAAAAGGCCGACCAGAGAGATGGGTGGAGGCGGGTGATATCTGCAGCAATGAACCTCAAGGGCTCGGAAGAAAAGGACAAAGTAAAGGAATATCTGTACACTGTCTCTACTTCCCCCCCCCCCCTTTCTAAGTACTGACTGCATCAGTCCATAACTCCCAAGTGCCTGTCTGTACAGTCTTTTTCCCCCCAGGTACTGTCTGTACTATGTCTCTACATATCTCCCAAGGTACTGTTTGTACCGTGTCTCTATCTACCCCAAGGTATTGTACCATATCTCCCCCCAGGTACTGCCTGTGTTGTGTCTCTATATCTTTCAAGGTACTGTATGTACTGTGTCTCCCCCAAGGTAATGTCTGTATTGTGTCTCTGTCTTCCCCAAGTATTGTCTGTACCGTCTGTTCTATCTCCCCAGGAACTGCCTGTACGGTGTTTTATATCCTCCAGGTACTGTCTGTTCTGTGTCTCTATATCCGTCAAGGTACTGTCTGTACTGTGTCACTGTATCTCTCAAGGTTCTGTTTGTACCGTGTCTCTATATTCCCCCAAGGTACTGCCTGTGCTGTGTCTCTTTCACCAAGGTTATTGTCTATACTGTGTCTTTATCTCCCCCAAGTACTGTCTGTATATCCCCCAGGTACTGTCTGTACTGCGTCTCTATCTCCCCCAGGTACTGTCTGTACTCTGTCGCTATCTCCCCCAGGTACTGTCTGTACTGTGTCTCTATCTCCCCCAGGTACTGTCTGTACTGTGTCACTATCTCTCCCATGGACTGTCTGAACTGCATCTCTATCTCCCCCAGGTACTGTCTGTACTGTGTCTCTGTATCCACTAGGTACTGTCTGTACTGCGTCTTTATCTCCCTCAGGTACTGTCTGTACTGTGCCTCTATCTCCCAAGGTACTGTCTTTACTGTGTCTCTATTTCCACCAGGTACTGTCTGTACTGTGTCTGTATCTCCCCAGGTACTCTCTGTACGTCTGTACTGTGTCTCTATCTATCCCAGGTACTGTCTGCACTGTGTCTCTATCTCCCCCAGGTACTGTCTGTACTGCGTCTTTATCTCCCCCAGGTACTGTCTGTACTGTGTCTCTGTCTCCCCCAGGTACTGTCTGTACTGTGTCTCTATCTACCCCAGGTACTGTCTGTATTGTGTCTCTATCTCCCCCAGGTACTGTCTGTACTGTGTCTCTATCTCCCCCAGATACTGTCTGTACTGTGTTTCTATCTCCCCCAGGTACTGTCTGTACTGTGTCTCTATCTCCCACAGGTACTGTCTGTACTGTGTCGCTATCTCCCCCAGGTACTGTCTGTACTGTGTCTCTATCTCCCCCAGGTACTGTCTGTACTGTGTCTCTATCTCCCACAGGTACTGTCTGTACTGTGTCTCTCTCTCCCACAGGTACTGTCTGTACTGTGTCGCTATCTCCCCCAGGTACTGTCTGTACTGTGTCTCTATCTCCCCCAGGTACTGTCTGTACTGTGTCTCTATCTCCCCCAGGTACTGTCTGTACTGCAGGCGTACAAAAGTTTTGTCCAGTACCCGCCCATGTTCCAGAGAAGACTGGCCAGACTAGCCTGGTTCACTGAGTAAGTTCATCGTGCCCCTCAACCCACAAGAATTGGGATGTCCTGTGAAACTGTCCTGTCTGTCACTTACTCTTAGCGTACATATAAGTTTTAGATGATCTTATCCAGAAAAAGATCTATCGACAGACAGACTAAAATTCTAAAAGCCAGACATACACACTTATAGACAGGTAGAGACGGACATATGCTGTAACTGACAGGCAAACTGACAGACCTAGAGAAAAGTCTAGACAGATAAACATACCGATCAACCGAAAGATAAGTCTAGTCACATCGGTGGACAGATCGACAGTTTGATAGACCAAAAGACAAATCTTGTCAGATAAACAGACAGACCGGTAGAGCGATGGACCAATAGTCACGTCTAGACAAACAGACCGAAGACTGAGCGACTGATCTATACAGATAATCAGACATACATCCATCGACCAGCAAACAAATACGCTGACAGTCACATCGCCGAGCCGATCTACAAACATACAAACACAAACAAACAGAAAGTGAAATTAGTGGCAAAGGTAAAACAGTAAGACAGAAAAAGGGTACATAGAGAGACAACACTAGACTGTCGCGCATTATGATTTGCGGGGATGCCACCACATCAGTAGAATCTTGATTTGATGTCAGAGAAAGTGGACGTGGAGATGCCACCATATCAGTAGAATCTTGGTGTCAGAGAACGGGGATGTGGAGATGCCACCACATCAGTAGAATCTTGGTGTCATGGAACAGGGATTTGGAGACGCCACCACATCAGTAGAATCTTGTGTCATGGAACGGGGATGTGGAGATGCCACCACATCAGTAGAATCTTGGTGTCATGGAACGGGGATGTGGAGATGCCACCACATCAGTAGAATCTTGGTGTCATGGAACAGGGATGTGGAGATGCCACCACATCAGTAGAATCTTGTGTCATGGAACGGGGATGTGGAGATGCCACCACATCAGTAGAATCTTGTGTCATGGAACGGGGATGTGGAGATGCCACCACATCAGTAGAATCTTGTGTCATGGAACGGGGATGTGGAGATGCCACCACATCAGTAGAATCTTGGTGTCAGAGAACGGGGATATGGAGATGCCACCACATCAGTAGAATCTTGGTGTCATGGAACGGGGATGTGGAGATGCCACCACATCAGTGGAATCTTGGTGTCAGAGAACGGGGATAAGGAGATGCCACCACATCAATAGAATCTTGGTGTTAGAGAACGGGGATGTGGAGATGCCAACACATAAGAAGAATCTTGGATGTCGAGATGCCACCACATCAGAAGAAACTTTGTGTTATAGAACGGGGATGTGAAGATGCCATGACATCAGCGGAATCTTGGTGCTATAGAGCGAGGATGTGGAGACGCCATGACATCTGTGGAATCTTGGTACCATAGAGCGAGGATGTGGAGACGCCATGACATCTGTGGAATCTTGGTACCATAGAGCGAGGATGTGGAGACGCCATGACATCTGTGGAATCTTGGTACCATAGAGCGAGGATGTGGAGACGCCATGACATCTGTGGAATCTTGGTGCCATAGAGCGAGGATGTGGAGACGCCATGACATCTGTGGAATCTTGGTGCCATAGAGCGAGGATGTGGAGACGCCATGACATCTGTGGAATCTTGGTGCCATAGAGCGAGGATGTGGAGACGCCATGACATCTGTGGAATCTTGGTACCATAAAGCGAGGATGTGGAGACGCCATGACATCTGTGGAATCTTGGTGCCATAGAGCGAGGATGTGGAGACGCCATGACATCTGTGGAATCTTGGTGCCATAGAGCGAGGATGTGGAGACGCCATGACATCTGTGGAATCTTGGTGCCATAGAGCGAGGATGTGGAGACGCTATGACATCTGTGGAATCTTGGTGCCATAGAGCGAGGATGTGGAGACGCCATGACATCTGTGGAATCTTGGTGCCATAGAGCGAGGATGTGGAGACGCCATGACATCTGTGGAATCTTGGTGCCATAGAGCGAGGATGTGGAGACGCCATGACATCTGTGGAATCTTGGTGCCATAGAGCGAGGATGTGGAGACGCCATGACATCTGTGGAATCTTGGTGCTATAGAGCAAGAATGTCGAGATACCATGACATCTGTGGAATCTTGGTGCTATAGAGCGAGGATGTGGAGACGCCATGACATCTGTGGAATCTTGGTGCTATAGAGCGAGGATGTGGAGACGCCATGACATCTGTGGAATCTTGGTGCTATAGAGCGAGGATATGGAGACGCCATGACATCTGTGGATTCTTGGTGCTATAGAGCGTGGATGTGGAGACGCCATGACATCTGTGAAATCTTGGTGCCATAGAGCGAGGATGTGGAGACGCTATGACATCTGTGGAATCTTGGTGCCATAGAGCGAGGATGTGGAGACGCCATGACATCTGTGGAATCTTGGTGCTATAGAGCGAGGATGTGGAGATACCATGACATCTGTGGAATCTTGGTGCTATAGAGCGAGGATGTGGAGACGCCATGACATCTGTGGAATCTTGGTGCTATAGAGCGAGGATGTGGAGACGCCATGACATCTGTGGAATCTTGGTGCTATAGAGCGAGGATGTGGAGACGCCATGACATCTGTGGAATCTTTATGCTATAGAGGGGGGATGTGGAGATACCATGACATCTGTGGAATCTTGGTGCTATAGAGCGAGGATGTGGAGACGCCATGACATCTGTGGAATCTTGGTGCTATAGAGCGAGGATGTGGAGACGCCATGACATCAGCGGAATCTTGGTGCTATAGAGCGAGGATGTGGAGACGCCATGACATCTGTGGAATCTTGATGCCATAGAGCGAGGATGTGGAGACGCCATGACATCTGTGGAATCTTGGTGCTATAGAGCGAGGATGTGGAGATGCGAACCCCCCCCCCCCTCTTTGCCCCCCCCCTCCCCCCGACGTGTAATTGTAGGAGTCAAAGGTCACACGAATTTACTAAAGTATCTCAATTTAATACAGGCGCTAGTCTGGCTGAAGCGGTTATATCGTTGTGTGATGGACTCTATAGTCTAGAGTATTACACGACCAAATGCAACACGTGACAGGACATATTGAATAATGCTTGGGATTCGTTTCAACCCTTTTTTTCCACATGAGGGGCTGCCTGGGGCCAACATAATTGATCTGGTTAGTCTGTGAAGGCAATAAGAGTTACCAAACGCCTTTGTGTGTGTGTGTGGAGATACTTGCTGCTTGGTCCGGAGCACAGTCTGTTGTAATCTCATTTGTTACCCGCCGACTCGTTCAGATATTAAGTGACTATTGGTATGTGAGAGATTTAAAAAAAAAAACTCGTGTATTTTCCAATATGTCTGGGCACCCCTGTGAAGAGGTCACGGCTACCCGGGGCGCCGCGGCGCACAGTTTGAGAATCACTGGTCTAAACGACAAAGCTGTTCACCGACCAACTAGCCAGCCTCGAGATGTGGCCAACATTATTCTTAATGTTTCTTTCGTTGATAAAGACTGATCCAAAATAATTTCAGGGTCATGGTTTGCGTCTAGTCAATTCATTTCCTGATCTTACCTCGGCTACAGTCACAAATATTTTCGTCTAGTCAACCGACTTTCTTCTTTTGTCCAAACTCAGCGTTGTGCCACTATGTGTCGCAGCTTCACAGATGATCCAGATCCGAGCTAGGGCAGGCTCAGCTGCTAAGTGTGCTGGGATGATGTGGAGTCTTAGTGTTTCGGCGACTCCTGCATTCTACGTTTTTGTTGCTGGCATCATTAGATTCATTCTCATTTAATGGTCAAACTATTTCATTCAGTCATTTTCAGTAAGGGTTGTTCCAATATTTTTTGTATCACGGAAAGATGTAAAAATTAATGGAAAGTAGATCAGCGAGCTTAACAATATGACGAACATAAACGGAAAGTAAACGTTACGGCCCCAGAGCTTTCATCAGCATATTACGTGAATGAAACAAAACAATTTCACAATATTTCTTGTAATTTATTCTTTGTTCACATGATCTCGTCTAAGTTTGCTCACGGTCTTTCTCAGACATCTTCGCAGGTGGTCAGTCTTCTTTACTGTTCTTTAGTCAATGTCTAAGTCTGATACTGACAGTACAATGTTGGTATGAGGGTTGCATTGATAATTTGTTATTCTGTCTTTGATGGGATAACATGATGTTTCAAACAAGTGGTTTATTGATACCCGACATTGTTGGCTGGTAACTGACTAAACTGGTTGGTTGTCAACCATTCAAACAACTACAAACTGATCAGCAACCAGTCAACTTGCCAACCAGCCATCAATGTTTTCTCAGCCCCAGCCCATATTTGTTTTTGTGTTGTGTTTGTCTACATCTTTATCTTTGATGGATCGTGTCCGTGAATTTGTCTACATCTTATCTTTGATGGATCGTGTCTGTGAATTTGTCTTCATCTTATCTTTGATGAATCGTGTTTGTGAATTTGTCTACATCTTATCTTTGATAGATCGTGTCTGTGAATTTGTTTACAGAATAGAAGCCAACAAATATATTATTCGGGAACGTCACATCGCCTCAGACTTCTACGTTCTTCTCAAGGGTAAAGGTAAATCCTAAACCAGCCTCCGTCTAGTGGTCTCCTTCCAGTGTAATTTATTATGTTGCGTAATTATTGTTGCAGATGCAGTGGGACACTCCAATATTCGTCCGCGCTGAAATTAAGGAATGGCTGTCCCCTTGGGCACAAAATGGCAGATTTTAATTCAGAAATGGCATCCAAACATCGGTATAGTTAATCAGGGTATCAGTTCACTTGATGGCCTGTGTTTGAGCACTTTGGGAACATTCTAAAAACAAGAGCAAAACAACGTTGGATAACTTCTTTAACCGAGAAAAAGCTAGTGCTGATGAATCTTCTGCAAACGCTGAAGAATCATCAGGACCAAAAAAGACACTACCAGATATCATAATGGAAGGAGATCCCCCTCCCAGACAATGGACTCTCCCTATATTCTTTCATCTAATAGATGAATCTCTTTTTAAAAATTGTATGTGAGTATTTATGTCGTCCTACAGTATATTGAAGTCAACAGGACGAGTAAATCTGTCACAATGACAAAGCAATCATTCGCACAGTGGTTAAAATGGGAATAAAATACATTTGCAATTATTGCCGGGATCAATGTCCAGTGAAAGTTTGCTACTGTTTAAATAGATGGGCACAATTCTCAGCTGGCAGCGGATTAAACTTTTTTTTTTTAAATTAGATCCGATACGAAAACTTCTTTTATGATTCGTCATATTAATGTTGGTCCTTCCCTCAGTAAAGTATTAATAATGTATTCAAGAGTTGCATTGTAGATCATCTGGGGAGAACTTGAGAGTTCACCTTAACATCATTATCATGATCATCGTCATTAATTAGCAGAAAGTCACTCTCTTCAAGGCACGCCTGAAAGTCACTCCGCCTCTAGCCAGTTCCCCAGCCCTGTGCGTTTTCATAGCCAGCGCCCCCGCACTGTGTTGTATCCACGGTAACGGTGGTCGGCCCCTGCCTCATTGTCCGGAAACTTTTTCGTCACCGTTTCTCCCCGTCGCCATGACGAGTTCACCTCAAGGTGGACACTGCATAACTGATCACTTCATCCATTTAGCGTCGATTGTCTCTACAAGTGCCAGTCTAGCATCATATCTCCTAGAACCCAATGGCCGGATGGTTGACTCAAGGACACACGACATGCAACCATGGCCTGTCTTAATCTTACTTAGTTCAACTTTGATTGTATGCCTTCATATTTGCCTTACAGCCAATGCATTCTTTGTTCATCGTTGATTATACACCTGTATAGTTGTCTTACAACCAATCAGTTCTTTGTTCATTGTTGATTATGCACCTTTATGGTTGTCTTACAACTAATCATTTCTTTGTTCATCGTTGATTATGCACCTTTATAGTTGTCTTACAACCAATCATTTCTTTGTTCATCGTTGATTATTAACCTTTATTGTTGTCTTACAACCAATCAGTTCTTTGTTCATCGTTGATTATTCACCTTTACTGTTGTCTTACAACCAATCAGCTCTTCGTTCATCGTTGATTATGCACCTTTATATTTGTCTTACAACATATCTACAGCCAAGGAGGTCAGACTAATCGGAAATCCTTACTTCAAAGCCAAATCAGAGATGAGACAAACTCGCTTCATTCGAAAATCGGAAGCTTTCGGGGTAGCTTTGTTTTGTCTCCAGACTGTTTATGTTGATTAAGGGTTTTACTTTCCTTGTGTTGTTGATTTATTTGTTGAGAGTTTTCACGTGGCAAGTAAAGTCGACCGGTGTGATAATGATCACATTATCTACCGAAGGTGAAACGATTCGACCATTTAACTCGGCTGCCAAGAGACACTATATCACAACGAGCAATGGTGTACAAACCAAGTGGTAATCCTAAAAGAGGCTGAACTAAACGAGGGACAGAGAGAATAACAATCCATGGGAATTCCGACATACGTGACGCACAAAAAGGACACTCTCAGGTGAGACACGTGGTGAGACATGATTCGCCTGTCTCTGGTATCAAGAACGCATTGCTCAGAAACCAAGAAGACACACGTGCAAAATATGGTACACCAGAACATGTGAGCTCTAAGACTTATTTCCATGCATGCTCTAAGACTTATATCCATGCATGCTCTAAGACTTATATCCATGCATGCTCTAAGACTTATATCCATGCATGCTCTAAGACTTATATCCATGCATGCTCTAAGACTTATATCCATGCATGCTCTAAGACTTATATCCATGCATAGTAGCGGGTTTTTCGAAGTAGATGTTACATACATCAGAAAGGAGGAGACGAAAAAAATTAGTGAGGAGGAGAAACAAAACAAAAACCAAAAGATAACTATGGGAGAAGAAGGAAGAGGTTTGAGTCATACGGAACAAATTAAAGACGACGCAGGGCGAGGAGTCGATAACAATGATGAGGCTAATAATGTGGACGGAGGAGCGAGAAGTTGATCATGATACCAATTATGAAGCTGACGAAAAAGAAGAAGGCCTTTGACCATGATGAGAGGAGAAAGAGAAAGACTAAAAGTTATATTTTATGAGTGTTCTATATATGCCGTGAACTCACTCAGCGTTGCCCGGTACTGAAAACTGATGTATGTACATCCACTGGACAGGATGAAAGTATGTCGGACCCCGAGTGCCAGCGCGACTACTCCATCATCAGCTGCGAGCCGTGCTCCTTGCTAGCAGTCAGCGTCTACGACTACAACGTTATGCTGCACACAAAGAAGGACAACGAGACGGCTCCAGAACACATCTTGTTTATCAGGTTTGTCCCTTTGTGCCCCAATGCTGGAGCAACGTTATACCAGTGCAGTGTTCATCGGTATTTGATATCAAATAACATGCGGGAAAAAAATACTTTTACAGACAATTTGTGTATATGAATGAACCTGTGTTCCACTTGTGTCCAGCTTGTGTTCACCTTGTGTCCAGCTTGTGTTCACCTTGTGTCCAGCTTGTCTTCCGCTTGTGTCCAGCTTGTGTTCCGTTTGTGTCCAGCTGTGTTTCGCTTGTGTCCAGTTTGTGTTCCGCTTGTGTCCAGCTTTTGTTTTACTTGTGTCCAGCTTGTGTTCCGCTTGTATTCCGCTTGTGTCTCGCTTGTGTCCAGCTTGTGCTCAGCTTGTGTCCAGACTGTGTCCAGCTTGTGCCCAGACTGTGTACAGCTTGTGTCCAGCTTGTGTCCATCTTGTGTCCAGCTTGTGTCCCGCTTGTGTCTCACCTGTGTCCAGCTTGTGTTCAGACTGTGTACAGCTTGTGTTCATCTTGTGTCCAGAGTGTATACAGCTTGTGTTCCGCTTGTGTCCAGCTTGTGTCCAGACTGTGTACAGCTAGTGTTCCGCTTGTGTCTCACCTGTGTACAGCTTGTGTTCCGCTTGTGTCCAGCTTGTGTTCAGGCTGTGTACAGCTTGTGTCCAGCTTGTGTCAATCTTGTGTCCAGCTTGTGTTCCGCTTGTGACTCACCTGTGTCCAGCTTGTGTTCAGACTGTGTACAGCTTGTGTTCATCTTGTGTCCAGAGTGTATACAGCTTGTGTTCCGCTTGTGTCCAGCTTGTGTCCAGACTGTGTCCAGCTTGTGTCCAGACTGTGTACAGCTTGTGTCCAGCTTGTGTCCATCTTGTGTCCAGCTTGTGTTCCGATTGTGTCTCACCTGCGTCCAGCTTGTGTTCAGACTGTGTACAGCTTGTGTTCATCTTGTGTCCAGAGTGTATACAGCTTGTGTTCCGCTTGTGTCCAGCTTGTGTCCAGACTGTGTACAGCTTGTGTTCAGCTTGTGTCTCACATGTGTACAGCTTGTGTTCCGCTTGTGTCCAGCTTGTGTCCAGACTGTGTACAGCTTGTGTTCAGCTTGTGTCCAGAGTGTAGATATCTTGTGTTCCGCTTGTGTCCAGAGTGTAGACAACTTGTGTTCCGCTTGTGTCCAGAGTGTAGATATCTTGTGTTCCACTTGTGTCTATTCTGTGTAAAGCTTGTGTCCAGACTGTGTTCAGCTTGCGTCCAGCTTATGTAGAACTTGTGTACAGCTTGTGTCCAGCTTGTATTCAGCGTGTGTCCAGCTTGTATTCAGCTTGTGTCCCGCTTGTGTCCCTCTTGTGTCCAGCTTGTGTCCAGCTTGTGTCCACCTTGCGTCTCACTTGTGTCCAGCTTGTGTCCACCTTGCGTCTCGCTTGCATGCAGCTTGTGTTCAGATTATGAAGAATTCCTGTCTATACTTGTTGTGTCGGCTTAAGGTCCCCCATTGCAACCTGGTCTCCCTCCACTCAGTGGCTGTTTGTCTGCCGAGAGCCTCGCACAAACCAGGCTAGTCCCGACTCCTAGCGACGACCAACTATAGATCACCTGAATACCTGCACCCTACGGAGGCCGTCATCACCGAATCCACAAATTCCGGATCACAAAGCCAACGATCTGATCACTTGGCTACTAACATCCCCTTAGAAAATCACAAAGTTAAGTTCGAAAGTCTCTCTGCCGTTTGTTAATTCCCAGTATGTATCACATCCCATTGCTGTTTGTGTTTGGAGAGGGAATGAAGAACGCGCTATTACATACCCTGCAGGGATGATGGTTTAAATATAACGTTTTATATCGATATAATCTGTTTCAAATGTGAGTCACTGCTGTTCATTTCATATAAATAATACCACCCGCGTGTTGGCGGTGAAACGAACAGCCACCTGAAACTGATGGACGACTTTCCCAAGAAAAAATTGCTAGAGGAAGGTGACGAGAATATCACTATTCATTACTTCAGGTTAGTGAATACTTTGTGGTAGATAGAAAATCACAACTTAGGTTAGTCAATAGTTTGTATGCATAGAATATCATTACTTCAGCTTAGTGAATTCTTCGAGGCAGATAGAATATATTATAACTTAGGTTAGTCAATATTTTGTATGCATAGAATATCATTACTTCAGCTTAGTGAATTCTTCGAGGCAGATAGAATATATTATAACTTAGGTTAGTCAATAGTTTGTATGCAAAGAATATCATTATTTCAGGTTAGTGAATACTTTGTGGTAGTTAGAATATCATAACCTAGGTTAGTCAATAGTTTGCATGCATAGAATATCATTACTTCAGGTTAGTGAATTTGTTTGTGGTAGATAGAATATCGTTACTTCAGCTTGATAAATAGTCTGTGTTAGATTAAACATCACAATATTGAGGTTAGTGAATATTTAGTAGTAGAAGAAACATTTTTCTTTCATATGAGTTAAAAGTGGATTGTAGATAACATATCTTTAAGTGATATTATGAGATGTGTTTGTTGTTTGTTTTAGTATCCAGAAGCCATGAGTTGTTAACCCTTAGGCTCGGTATTATGGATATCGCAACCTTTCAGCTTTGATTCCATTGTAAATACCGTAAATCTGGGAGAAAATGTGGCTTTTCTGCCTTCCCCCGGGCATGAACCCGGACTACAAGGAGTTCGTCCCCTGGTCAACCGCGCAATCCGGTTTAGCCAACTACGCTAGAGAGACGGGCGATGTTACGAGATAGATTGTGGTAGACATCATTGTTTTTGCGTCAGATTAATCAATGATTTGTTGCAGATAGATGATGATCACTTTGATTGTGTAATAAAACACGTCAATCGGTGAAACGTGAAGAAGACCGAACTTAAGACGTCTCCGCTGAACTCTGCGGTATTTTTGTTTTCAGGCAGGATTCTGTCATCAGCAAGAACTTGAAAACCTGCAACTATGTGTTTGTCGTAAGCAATGTAAGTGTCTCCCTGATGACATCTTTCTCTGGTGTATTTTATTTTCCTGTTTTTTTTTTTTTAAGAGTTTCAAAATTGATGCGGATGAATCTCGTTTCATGTTGTCTTGAGGCGTGCTGGGAAACGAACAGGCAGACAGACTGGCTGGTGCTGCATCAGTAGAGAATGATCTGATGCTTGACACGCTAGATGTGGTCAAGGTCCTTTCAGATCAAGTTACCAAAGCGGATGTATAACCAGATCATTGTGGTGTGGAGAGCATGGACCGACGGGAATCTGCCCGATGCTGTGCACTCAGTGGAAGAGGAAGACCGACATATAATCAAACTGCTGTTTGTTTTGGTTCCATTTGAAAAGGGGAGTGGGAAAAGGGGTGGTGGGGGGGGGGATTCCTAATAAGCATATTGTAAAAGTCGACACACCAGGGTGTTTCCTTGGAAGTCTGGGTGCATCTGCCTGGGAGACGATTCAGCAGTCTGCACACAAATAAACCAGATATGTAAAACAAATGTGCATGCAAAACTGATGGACCTGGATCAAGATCAAAGTTCAGAAGCGGATGAACGCCCAGAACTTTGCACTTATGTTTACAGCCAGTGAACGTTAAGAAGAGAATATACTATAAACATAAAATTATTATTATGTTATTAAACTAGAATTAAGTCACTGAGAGCGCCTCGTCCTTCTTGTCTTGAAAATAAGTACGGGGGTGGGAGGGGTGGTGGAGGCTAAGGGTCCTCGCACCAATGTTGTCTCTGTGCCAGCGCCACAGTTACAGTCTAACCCTTGTGCAAAAAACCTGTAAGTTTTTTCTGCGATGATCACTCTGACTGATTGCGTCCCTCCTTGCTCTCGTCTACAGGGAAACTGTCGAGTCGTCTCTGAGATTCCCCCAGAAAAGCCAGCAACAAGATCTCAAGGTAAAGTCACCGGCTTGTCAGGACACAAGAGTTGGTTTCACACTGACACAAGGGTTGATTTCACTCTTACTGATTTTGTGATTCTTTTTTTTTTAATGTTATCGCTTATCCAGAGGCGGCACTTTCATCCGCCTAACTTGTCCATCTAATGTGCCTTCGGTGTTTGGGTAACTGGTCTCTCTGATGTGGCTCCACTGTCTGTGTAACTGGTCCCTCTGGTGTGGCTCCACTGTCTGGGTAACTTGTCCTTCTGATGTGGCTCCACTGTCTGGGTAACTGGTCCCTCTGATGTGGCTTCACTGTCTGGGTAACTGTTCCCTCTGATGTGGCTCCACTGTAAAATAGAGGCACTAAGGTACCTCAGACGGTTGCAAGGACTTGGTTTGGTCTCATGTGTCCGACAGGTGCAGAGAAATGAAACAGACAGAGAAGGACGCAACCTCACCGTCTCTTAGGGAAGTCAAGGGCCATAGAGATCTAAACCGACAGAAAAAGAAAATGCAGGTCGAAACCGCAGGTATTAAACCACTGGCGCACAAAACAGGGAAAGTGATTTACATAAAAGGGGAGCCTATCAAACTTGTTATTGTTCAGGATTGCCTTCCCTCATCAGGATGTGACCTTCCAATACCGCCCTGGTACGCCACTGATTCTTTCTCGGAAACTTTGACCCACTCTTCTCCTCGTCCAAATTTATCAAGCCTGCACACGTGTTTAATTGTCTTTTCAGCCTGCACCATCGAAGACCTTCATATTTTCAGTCTGTGACCCTTAGCTCTACCTAGGGCTTCATACAGGAGGTGCTTCTTGTCTGCAGCTACTCTGAGGTATGCCTTTTGCTTTTAGAACTTTGAGCCTATCTGCAATAGTAGGCAGTACAAGTACATATCGCATACATACTATCTGTTGTACATCCCAGAATTACCCGCATGACTTCATTCTGCATGAGTTCAAGTTTCGTTATCTGACTTTGATATGGTAAGCATTCCAAGTCCATAATCTTTAACCGGCAGAATCAAATGCTGAAGCATTGTGAACAACATTCTTTGTTCCATGTCCATTGCTGTCGTGATCTTGGGAGCATTGTCCTTTTTTAGCATTTCACCGCAACTGCTTCCAGATGATCCCTATTGGACAGGCTCCTTTCGAAAGTGATACCCAGGTACCTCAGTTTGCTTTCTTTTTTGATGTTTTATGGTTAGTTATGAGGCTTAGAACATCAGCTCCTACAGTTCTATTGTACAGAGAGCATTTTAAAACAGCCGCCTTTTCTGAGCTGATGACAGCACCCATCTCTGCACACTAGTCAGTCGCCTAGTCTACAGTTGCTTGTAGGTGTAAGGTTGTCTGTTTCATATAGCTCTCCTGCATCTACACTTTAGGAGGTTTGCTATGGGAAACGAGGCTACGTGAAACAATATGTGTAAGAATGTGTGAACGGAGAATTAGGGGTGGATCCGGCAAGAACAGGCGTATGAGAGGAAAAGAACGAATAATCAGTGTGCTACGGAACAGTTAGCATTTACACCTCAAGAAATTTGCTGCGGGAGCTGGAGCATCTATGGGCATGCCCGGTGCGTTATGATGGCGATTCTCAAACTAGTAAATCGAAAGCCTGACTCCACCTTTTCCTTTTTGTAGTGAGACAATTGTTATTATAAAGTCCCATTAACTCTCTCGGAGACTCAATAACCATATGAACAACGGCCTATGAGACAGCACTGAAGACAACACATACCGCTCAGTTTGTAACCCGAGCTGGAATAGAGGCATAGGAAACGTTAATCCACGAAGCAGAAACTAGGTTTATACAACAACTGACTTTCTTTCTTTCTTCACAGGTCGCAGATACAACCACGTAAGTATGCACTTGTACTGAAGCGCGAGTGACCCTTGGGGGAAGAGAGGGGGGGGGGGGGGGTAGAACCGTGTGAGGAAGTGACAGTTTGCGGGTGATTGTGTTTGTGGGGGAGGGGTGGGGAGTGACCGTGTGGGGAAGTGACCGTATGCGGGGAGTGACCGTTGGGGGGAGGGGGGGAGGGATGACCGTGTGGGGGAGAGACCGTGTGCGGGTGACCGTTTTTGTTTTTAGTGTGGGGGGAGGGGGGGTATGAGAGGTAAGTGTGTACTGAACTGACCATTTTCACGCTAGGAACTCATCAAGAAGTTAGGCTCAAATTTCATAGTCAGGTGTTGTGGTCAACATCACGCCGACCGTCTTTACTGCCCAGGATGTTACCTAACACCCAGTTTAGTCTAGATCGACCGGAAAGCTTTAAATCCACGGAATTTAATATCAGAGGATTGTGCAGACAAATAACACACAATATAACCCACACATAATGACGAAGATTGCGATCGCTGGACTGTCATCACCACCCAAGTTTTCGTGTCGTCTGCCAGGGTACATGTTCTTGTTAGTCAACAACTAGAAAAGTCATCGTGTCGTCTGCCAGGGTACACGTTCTTGTTAGTCAGCTACTAGACAAGTCTTCGTGTCGTCTGCCAGGGTACATGTTCTTGTTAGTCAACAACTAGAAAAGCCGTCGTGTCGTCTGCCAGGGTACATGTTCTTGTTAGTCAACAACTAGACAAGTCTTCGTGTCGTCTGCCAGGGTACATGTTCTTGTTAGTCAACCACTAGACAAGTGATCGTGACGTCTGCCAGGGTACATGTTCTTGTTAGTCAACAACTAGAAAAGCCGTCGTGTCGTCTGCCAGGGTACATGTTCTTGTTAGTCAACAACTAGACAAGTCTTCGTGTCGTCTGCCAGGGTACATGTTCTTGTTAGTCAACCACTAGACAAGTGATCGTGACGTCTGCCAGGGTACATGTTCTTGTTAGTCAACAACTAGACAAGTGATCGTGACGTCTGCCAGGGTACATGTTCTTGTTAGTCAACAACTAGACAAGTCATCGTGTCGTCTGCCAGGGTACATGTTCTTGTTAGTCAACCACTAGACAAGTCTTCGTGTCGTCTGCCAGGGTACATGTTCTTGTTAGTCAACAACTAGACAAGTCTTCGTGTCGTCTGCCAGGGTACACGTTCTTGTTAGTCAGCTACTAGACAAGTCTTCGTGTCGTCTGCCAGGGTACATGTTCTTGTTAGTCAACAACTAGAAAAGCCGTCGTGTCGTCTGCCAGGGTACATGTTCTTGTTAGTCAACAACTAGACAAGTCTTCGTGTCGTCTGCCAGGGTACATGTTCTTGTTAGTCAACCACTAGACAAGTGATCGTGACGTCTGCCAGGGTACATGTTCTTGTTAGTCAACAACTAGACAAGTGATCGTGACGTCTGCCAGGGTACATGTTCTTGTTAGTCAACAACTAGGCAAGTCTTCGTGTCGTCTGCCAGGGTACATGTTCTTGTTAGTCAACAACTAGACAAGTGATCTACTGTAATCATTATTACAATGACCTGCTGTGTGTTGAACAGATCCGAAGCACGAGCCAGGGAGTATCCCAGCGGTCTAGCATGGTGGACAGGGATGATATCAAACAGAACGTAAGTCTCATGTCCTGTCTTGGCGTCCTTGTATCACTGCTCGTGTAGTTCCACTGGTGTTCTTTACACTGTGTCCTTGACTGCTTGATGGCGGCCGATTTTGTCTCATTGTCTGTTTGATGGCGGCTGATTTTGTCTCATTGTCTGTTTGATGGCGGCTGATTTTGTGTCATTGTCTGTTTGATGGTGGCCGATCTTGTGTCATTGTCTGTTTGATGGCGGCCGATTTTGTGTCATTGTCTGTTTGATGGCGGCCGATCTTGTGTTACTGTCTGTTTGATGGCGGCCGATCTTGTGTCATTGTCTGTTTGATGGCGGCCGATCTTGTGTCATTGTCTGTTTGATGGCGACCGATCTTGTGTCATTGTCTGTTTGATGGCGGCCGATTTTGTGTCATCGTCTGTTTGATTATAGGTGTGAGTCATGGGCAATGACAGAAGCCAGCTTCAGGCCTCAGAAATGAGATATCTGGGAGAGGTGGTCCAAGTGACAAGAAGGAACAAAGTCCGCAAACAGACAATAGGTCAAGCTCTTGATACCCAGTCCTTACAAACCCGAGTGGATCAGTCACAGTTTCGATAGTTTGGACAATGGGAGAAAATCGGCCACCATGGCAGGCATAGGAGGCTAAGAACCAGGGAACCAGACCTTAAGGGCGACCTAGGGTGCTCTAGGAAGACAACATCCGACAGTCTCTAATTGACAGAGGACTGGAATGGAACAAAGCCAGAAAGAAAACTGCAGATAGAGACGTCTGGCGATCTCTCTGGGAAACCTCTACACCCCAAGGTAGAATAGGAGCAACTGAGTAAGTCAAGTGGATGGCTGGCCGATTTTTTTGTCATTGTCTGCTTTGTGTATGTTGTCTAGTTTACGACTATGTATGCCGTGAATTTGTCTGGTTTGTGGCTAATGATATCCTATAATTGTCTAGTTTACGACTATGTATGCCGTGAATTTTTCTGGTTTGTGACGTTTCATGTCGTGTATTTATTTGGTTTATCGTTGTTGATGTCGTGTATTTATTTGGTTTATGGTTGTTGATGTCGTGTGTTTATTTGGTTTATGGTTGTTGATGTTGTATAATTGTCTGGTTTAGGGTTGTTGATGTTGTATAGTTGTCTGGTTTATGGCTGTGGATGTCGTGTATTTTTTGGGTTTATGGTTGTTGATGTTGTATAATTGTCTGGTATGTGACGTTTGATGTCGTGTATTTATTTGGTTTATGGTTGTTGATGTTGTGTATTTGTTTGGTTTATGGTTGTTGATGTCGTGTATTTGTCTGGTTTATGGTTGTTGATGTCGTGTATTTGTCTGGTTTATGGTTGCTGATGTTGTATAGTTGTCTGGTTTATGGCTGTGGATGTCGTGTATTTGTTTGGTTTATGGTTGTTGATGTCGTGTATTTGTTTGGTTTATGGTTGTTGATGTCGTGTATTTGTTTGGTTTATGGTTGCTGATGTCGTGTATTTGTTTGGTTTGTGGCTAATGATATCCTGTAATTGTCTGGTTTGTGGCTATTGATATCCTGTAATTGTCTGGTTTATGGTTGTTGATGTCGTGTATTTGTCTGGTTTGTGACTAATGATATCCTGTAATTGTCTGGTGTACGACTATGTGTGCCGTGAATTTTTCTGGTTTGTGACGTTTGATGTCGTGTAATTATATAGTTTATTTTCAATCCTTCACTTCCTGAATACATTCCTCACATTGTATGTAATATTAGACCCATAACTTGTCAACCCTTCACAGGTCAACAAAAGGATCAACTTCCACATGTTCAACAAGGTGCCTCCAAAGAGCAGACAAGATTCTACAGCACAGAAAATCAACAAATCGTTGGCGGGTAATCACTTTCCTGTAACATTGCTCATCATCATCATTATCATCATCACCATCACCATCAACAGCAGTAGAGACGGTGGCTTCCTTATAGGTCATTTCATTACGAAATTGATATGAACTTGATATGTGACCTATATGAAACCTTAGGTGCCATTTCAGTGGTGGGATTTGAGAGGAATTATGTCCGTATTGTACAGCTGTGGGTTCAAAATGTAGGACAAACATGGCAAATGAAGACACTTTCTTTAGAGTTTCCTATGCATTTTAGTATATTTGTTAATGCAGCAAGATGCTGTCGTCATTTAGAAAACTTTTGGTAAACTTAAGCCTTCAATAGTCATGTTGTCTAGTGTATCTTTTTATCTTTCTACTTCTTTCTTTGAGTGCCGATCAATACACTGTCTGTTTGCTTATTAATGTAGCGTTTCTACAGTCTCAAGGCTCCGCATCTGTTTAATTATGTGTATAAACGGAACAACAATTATGTGACATCAACGGAACAACAATTATGAGATTGACATAAACGGAACTACAATTATGAGAAGGACATAAACGGAACTACAATTATGAGTTTGACATAAACGGAACTATAATTATATGAGTGACATAAACGCATAAACGCAACTACAATTATGAGAGTGACATAAACGGAACTACAATTATGAGAGTGACATAAACGGAACTACAGATATGTGAATGACAAAAGTGGAACCAGAATGACATAACCCGATCTATAGATAAATAACATAAACCGAACCATATATATGTGAATGACATAAACGGAACTAATATATGTGAATTACATAAGCAAAACTATAGATATTTGAATGACATAAACCGAACTACATATATGTGAATGACATAAACGGAACTACAGATACGTGAATGACATAATCGGAACCACTGATACGTTAATGACATAAACGGAACCACTGATACGTTAATGACATAAACCGAATTACAGATACGCGAATAAGATAAACAGAGAAAGAACACGTGTATAATGCGAGAATTAGATTATCTTGCCTGATACCGCACCATGACTGGCTAGGCCTCTTGGAATTACACATGACATTGCTGATCCTTGTAGTAATCTTTGACTCATTATGTTGACTGTTTTTCCCTGCAGGTGAAATCGCCGAGCTACAGGAGAAATCCAAGCAGATCATCAAGACCTTGCCGAGAGAAGTGAGACGCACCTTCACCATGGAGAACTTCCTGAAAGCTGTGGGAAAGACGCAGCAGCATGCACACGCTGTGAGATTGTTCCCCTGTAGTGTCAACCTTCAACAGTGTTTCCCAAACTGTTGTGGCCATGAGCCCCATTTTCATTTGGAACAAAAAAATATCACTGCCTCCTTGTCCCTAGAAATGTCATCATCGTCATTTGCCATGCTGAAAATCGTAGGTGGTGACCATTCACAGTCCTACTCGATCAGCATCATCTTGGGTCAGTTGGTGCTCCTTTATCGCTTGATGCCGTCAAGGTATTTATCTCTTCGCTGTCCCCCTGTCCTCTACAAACCTTGCCAGCTGTCCACAAGTTCTTGCATTGAAATATCTTCAGTCATCGAACAATAAGAATGATATAATGGCAGTATTGTTTGATATCGTCTTTCTGTCCTCGCCTGACAACCTGCTCTGGTTTGCAATTGGCAGTTTTCTCTCTAGTTCCACTTTATAAATTGTTTTAAGAGCCATCATCATCGTGTGCCCTGCAAACTGGCGTTGGCGCTCATACGTCTAGAGAGGTCACGATCCCTGGTTGCCTGGAACAGCTCTCTTGAGGATATCCCTCCATGCCATCGTTTCAGCCCATCCAGCATCATCTCTCTCTTGGTCTGCCTCTACCCGTTTTTCCACTGATCTTTCCAGTTGTCACGGTGTTCTCCAATGTCTCTTTTCTCATTATGTGGCTAAAGAACAGTGCTTGTCGCTTTCTTATTATTGTACATAGAGATCTACTTTCATTAGCTTTTTTCAAGCGTTTTAAGAGTGCGTTTGTTATTTCAAAGCTCTAAGACAGGTGGGTCTACCTTTCTATTTCTAGCCATCCATAGAAGGTTGGAATTCACTGCTAGACTAGTCATCTTACCTGAGTGGTCTCGGGGCATGACGTCCGCCTCGAGTGCTGGAGGTCCTGGGTTCAAGCCCCGGTCAGGGCTGGGATTTTTTCACATAGATTTTTAGTAATTTTTCCCTAGTCTCTGGGTAGTAAGATCGGACGCCTGTGTGTATTGTTGCGCACGTAAAACATCCATTGGCAGTTGGAAATCGAAAAGAGTAGCATAACGGCGCTGCCCAAAATTTGGAGTTAAAAATCTACGCAAAGTATTTTCAAGATCCTCACCGGTGCTACGGAGTTCGTGCTCTGCGCTGAAATTCTTCTGCCTCAAGCTTGAGTTAGAAGTAGAAGGGAGCACCTATGGGTTACTATCCTTGTGCCATGATGTTGATCCATTGTCCAAATCTAAACCTGAACCTGTTGTGTTGTTGTTCGTCCATCACAGGTGATGAGGACCAGTCCTTTTATCCACTGGTGACTGGATTAGGTTTTGTGAGTGTGCAGATGGATGATAAGGCCAATTCTAGCACTGAAAGTTCTTGAGCAGTGTGGACAGGGAATTAGAAGCCGCATCTCTCTGGTGATTTGCTTCAGTGTCTTCTCTTGGCTTGTCTTTTCTGAATGCCTGCTGCAGTTCTAGATGCTTCATGGGCCACAACTCCTCGATGAAGAGAGGAGCACCAGGATTAACGGTAACATGCATCGATTTCCCGGTTTTTAGGATTGATTCAGTGAGGTCTTGAGGCTGTCATTGAAACCTTTCTTCTGTCTCCCTTGAGAGCGTTTTTCTTTTAGTAGCTCACCGAAGAAAATTATTTTTGATAATCGGTGGTCAGGCATGCGGACTATATGCCCTGGTCTGCGAAGTTGTGCTTGTTTTAGAATCGAGTAAATGAAGGACAGTCTAGCTCTACCAATGATTTCAGTGTCAGGGATCATGCCTTGCCGTTTTATGTTCAGCAACTTTCTGAGGCAAACTGTGGAAATGGTTCAGCTTCTTAGCATGGCGCTGGTAAACGGTCCATGTTTCACACGCAATAAGAATAAGAAGAAACTCCACAGGGGAGCATGTACAGCAGGAGTCTACCAATAATCAGTAGAACAGTCGACAAATGTTTCGGCCCACGATCTCCAAGACATTTTCAGAGAGTGGGCCCACCTGAGTTCATGGGTTGGTTTCTCCTGCTGCACGTATTACCGGAGTGAAGTACAGGACGTACGACAGCTGTGTACACTTTGAGCTTCGTCTGCAGGCTGATGCCTGCTCTATTCCAGACTTGTGTATGAAGTCTACCAAATTCGCTGCTGGCTTTGAATATCCTTGTATTGATCTCTAGATCGATGTTAACTTTCTGAGCCAGTAAGCTGCCAAGGTATGTAAACCTGTCGACAGTCTTCAGTGCTTTGCCCTTGACTGTGATGTTTGGATCAGGCAGACTTGTCCCTGGGGCTGGCTGCAACATTATTTCAGTTTTGTCAGTGCTTATGACAAAGCCCAAAGTTTGTACAGGCTTCCGATCACTTGGTTACACTAAGTTGTAGTTCAGACTCTGAGCTGGCACCGATATCAGCGACAAATCATTCTCTAATGGTGTCTGACTTTATCTTGGTTTTAGCACTTAGCCTCCTCCTGAGATTAAATAGACCGCCATAAGTGCGATACCTGATATCGAAACCAGCATAGCGGGGAATATGATGCTGAACAGTGTTGGTACAAGCACACACTTTAACCTCGTTTTTGTAGTTTCTTTACCAAAGCCATCTGTAAACAAACGTGTCCAACTATTGGGCGATACCGATTTCTGAGTAAATCAACTGAGAGGGCTCTTTGTTCGGACTCAGTTCGTGCTTTCTTTCATTTGTTGGAGATCGTTCCTTTACCGGATAAGCATGGACAGTTAACATCCATAGTTCCCGTGTGAGAGCTTCATGCAGCATTATGTCACTGGTTTAAAAAAATTAATATATATATGCATGCTGTGTGAAAGTTTCTTTTGCAAAATGTTTTGTACTTTTTATTGATAGTTATTTTCTTCTTAAAATCCGTGGTTAAGCAGATGGTTTAGAAGCCTCGTAAGCTTTTTAAATGAAGCAAGGGATTTGTACTGTCTACGGGTGTGCTTCTCGTTGCCTAGTGTGTTATTCGTAAGCCCATACTTGAACCAAGCTTAGGTTTCACAACTTCGCTACTTCAGCCTATGAGAATGAGGCATAAAATGTGTACCTGTTCCAGTGTAGACTAGCCTTCGTTTGTCTTGGTACTGGCTTCCCTGCATATTGCTTCCAGGTTTTGTTTCCATTACCGCGATTATTTGTGTGCTTTTTGATTTGGTTTGTTTTTCTTTTTCTTAGTTTGGCTTCTGGATGAGCCTGGTGTCTAGTGAACCCCACCCCCCTAAATAAAAAGTGGGTAGTTCTGTAATATTGGATGATTTTCTAACATTATTATTTTAATTATTATTATTATTATTATTATTTATTATTATTATTATTATTATTATTATTATTATTATTTTGTGTGTCTGAGAGAAAATATACCGTTGCGATGAATTTTATTTGTTTAGGTTTTAGACTGATATCACTAGGCTTCGTAATGACAGTAGTCGGTAGTAATGTCTCTCTGATGATAGAATATTTGACGGCGTTACCAAACCTAATATTGTGCAGACAACTTCGGAAGGAGAAGTGCATGTTGGGGAGACTAACCTTAACTGTGCTAGAACGAGGAAATGCAGTTCGAAAATAGTTGTAGCAGGGCAGACCGGGCCCATAGCTTTGGCGGGCAGCTGGTCAGTGTCAGGGAGGCTCCACAGGCAGGCAGACAACTGGATTTTGTATTTAGCTGATTGGCTGACTGACTGACTAGTTGGCTGTTAGATTGGCTGGTTGGCTAATTAGTTAACTGTTTAATTAGCTGGTTGCTTGGTTGGCTAATTAGTTAACTGTTTAATTAGCTGGTTGCTTGGTTGGCTAATTAGTTAACTGTTTAATTAGCTGGTTGCTTGGTTGGCTAATTAGTTAACTGTTTAATTAGCTGGTTGCTTGGTTGGCTAATTAGTTAACTGTTTAATTAGCTGGTTGCTTGGTTGGCTAATTAGTTAACTGTTTAATTAGCTGGTTGCTTGGTTGGCTAATTAGTTAACTGTTTAATTAGCTGGTTGCTTGGTTGGCTAATTAGTTAACTGTTTAACTGGCTGGTTGCTTGGTTGGCTAATTAGTTAACTGTTTAACTGGCTGGTTAGTTAAATGGTTTCTGGATTAATTAGTTGATTGTCTGGTTGGCTCGTTCATTGGTTGGTTGGTTAGAAAGCTGATGGCCAAAGCAACACGTTTTGAAAAAAAAGTAGTAGTGATTGTAGCAGTATTATTAGTAACAGTAGATGTAGTCGTAGTAACAGCAGCAGTAGTAATATTATTAGATCACTAGCATAGGAGTTGAATACAGCATTAGCATAGGCGGAAAATGTGGTCGCGGTTGCTGTGGTAGCAAAGGGGGCGCAGCGTTAGTAGTAACAATAGTTGCCGAGCAGATGGGGTGAGGGTGGTGATAGTAGTAGTGGTAGTAGGTTAGGAAAAAAAAGGTTAGGAAACACACAGAGAAAGAGAGAGAGAGAGAGAGAGAGAGAGAGAGAGAGAGAGAGAGAGAGAGAGAGAGGGAGAGAGAGAGAGAGAAAGAGAGCCACCTACGTGGTACTGATATTCCTGACCGTTGTGTTGAACCAGCATCAGCCAGAAAGTCCACGAGCAACACTGTTTGGCCCCAGAGCCGTACACAGTTTCGCTAGTGCTATCAGCCTAGACAAGTGGCCGACGTTACTAGAAGCGGAACATTCGGAACCTATCAGTCAGGTAAGAGAGCTGTTAGATGTGTGGTGACAGTCAGGTAAGAGAGCTGTTAGGTGTGTGGTGACAGTCAGGTAAGAGAGCTGTTATATGTGTGGTGACAGTCAGGTAAGAGAGCTGTTAGATGTGTGGTGACAGTCAGGTAAGAGAGCTGGCAGATGTGTGGTGACAGTCAGGTAAGAGAGCTGTTATATGTGTGGTGACAGTCAGGTAAGAGAGCTGACAGATGTGTGGTGACAGTCAGGTAAGAGAGCTGTTATATGTGTGGTGACAGTCAGGTAAGAGAGCTGGCAGATGTGTGGTGACAGTCAGGTAAGAGAGCTGAAAGATGTGTGGTGACAGTCAGGTAAGAGAGCTGTTATATGTGTGGTGGCAGTCAGGTAAGAGAGCTGACAGATGTGTGGTGACAGTCAGGTAAGAGAGCTGTTATATGTGTGGTGACAGTCAGGTAAGAGAGCTGACAGATGTGTGGTGACAGTCAGGTAAGAGAGCTGTTATATGTGTGGTGACAGTCAGGTAAGAGAGCTGACAGATGTGTGGTGACAGTCAGGTAAGAGAGCTGACAGATGTGTGGTGACAGTCAGGTAAGAGAGCTGTTATATGTGTGGTGGCAGTCAGGTCAGAGAGCTGGTAGATGTGTGGAGACAGTCAGGTAAGAGAGCTGGTAGATGTGTGGTGACAGCTCGAGGGGGTTTTGCAGCCGCTTGAAATGTGATGTGTGTGTGTGTTTGTGTGTGTGTGTGGGGGGGGGGGAGGTGTAGGCTAAGAGCCTCTAAACTACTTGTAAATGTGATGTAAGTGGTGGTGGATGGGGGGGGCTGGAAATGATTTTAAATGTGATGTGAGGGGGAATGGGTGGTCGTGTGGGTTTTGGAGCAGTTGTGTAGCTAGCTAGTCTGGGGGTGTGTGTATTTATTTGGTGAGCAGCTGTTTTATAATAGTTTACGACTACTGTAGGGTTGCCTGTGGTACAACCTTGATCTGTTTATCCATCGGCGGTGTCTCTGACGTTGATCAGTTTGTTTATCCGTGGGATCTGTGTGTGTTTACTCCAAGGTGATGTGTCTGTTTATCCGGCGGATATGTGTGTGTTTATTCCAATGTGATGTGTCTGTTTATCCGACGGATGTGTGTGTGTTTACTCGAAGGTGGTGTCTATATTTATCCGACGGATATGTGTGTGTTTACTCCAAGGTGGTGTCTCTATCTATCCGACGGATATGTGTGTGTTTACTCCAAGGTGATGTGTCTGTTTATCCGACAGATATGTGTGTGTTTACTCCAAGGGGATGTGTCTAATTATCCGACGGATATGTGTGTGTTTACTCCAAGGTGATGTCTCTATTTATCCGACGGATATGTGTGTGTTTACTCCAAGGTCATGTCTCTATTTATCCGACGGATATGTGTGTGTTTATTCCAAGGTGATGTCTCTATTTATCCGACGGATATGTGTGTGTTTACTCAAAGGTGATGTCTCTATTTATCCGACGGATATGTGTGTGTTTACTCCGAGGTGATGTGTCTATTTATCCGGCGGCGCTGTTTCTGTCTATCTGACTGCTATGTGACGGTGACAAATCTAACTCTCTGACGGTGATTTGTCTGTCTGTCTATCTGACTGCTATGTGACGGTGACAAATCTAACTCTCTGACGGTGATGTGTCTGTCTGTCTATCTGACTGCTATGTGACGGTGACAAATCTAACTCTCTGACGGTGATTTGTCTGTCTGTCTATCTGACTGCTATGTGACGGTGACAAATCTAATTCTCTGACGGTAACTTGTCTGTCTGTCTATCTGACTGCTATGTGACGGTGACAAATCTAACTCTCTGACGGTGATGTGTCTGTCTGTCTGTCTAATGCACGTGGCAGCTCATTTAAGACACACCAGATTCTACACTACACAGAAAATCAGCGAAGAGAAAGTGGCCACCACAGAGAAAACCGCTGACAGCGAGAGTATAGCGAGTACCTACACCTATTATGGGGAGGAAGAGGAATCAGAGAAGTCTGTGTGAGTAATCCTTGTCTGTAATGTCATCAACTAAGCGGTGAGTCAGTTAGTCATTCATGTACTCTGTGAGTAATCCTTGACTGTAATGTCATCTATATCTATCTATCTATCTATCTATCTATCTATCTATCTATCTATCTATCTATCTATCTATCTATCTATCTATCTATCTATCTATCTATCTATCTATCTATCTATCTATCTATCTATCTATCTATCTATCTATCTATCTATCTATCTATCTATCTATCTATCTATCTATCTATCTATCTATCTATCTATCTATCTATCTATCTATCTATCTATCTATCTATCTATCTATCTATCTATCTATCTATCTATCTATCTATCTATCTATCTATCTATCTATCTATCTATCTATCTATCTATCTATCTATCTATCTATCTATCTATCTATCTATCTATCTATCTATCTATCTATCTATCTATCTATCTATCTATCTATCTATCTATCTATCTATCTATCTATCTATCTATCTATCTATCTATCTATCTATCTATCTATCTGTCTATCTGTCTATCTGTCTATCTGTCTATCTGTCTATCTGTCTGTCTGTCTGTCTGTCTGTCTGTCTGTCTGTCCGTCGTCCGTCCGTCCGTCCGTCCGTCCGTCCGTCCGTCCGTCCGTCCGTCCGTCCGTCCGTCCGTCCGTCCGTCCGTCTGTCTGTCTGTCTGTCTGTCTTTGTCTGTCTGTCTTTGTCTGTCTGTCCTTGTCTGTCTGTCTGTCGATCGATCTGTCTGTTTGTGTGTATGTGTATCTATAGATATATATATACATATATACCAGAACATAACAAAAATTATCGGAAACATGTATATATATATATATATATATATATATATATATATATATATATATATATATATATATATATATATATATATATATATATATGTTTGCGATAATGTTTGTTTATGGTAATAATGGCTCACAAGGAAACATACAGAACTTTTCACTATTGACAACATTAAAAAGCCGATCGAATTCCAATACACGTTCTGCCAGTTTATTTCCTTTTAATCCATCATAATTACTCAACCACAGTCATCACTGTTCACTTCCACTACTAGTCATTTACTCAACGTTAACTACACCACTGTCCACGAGCTAACATCCAGCTTTGCCCCGTCCATATCTCCGGCTCCGTGCGTGTGCTCTGCCACGGGTTCTAGGCTTAGACCATCACGCAAAGCCCCTCATCACAACTGGCTTACCGTATATTTGATCCCAACTGTGTGCATTGCGACATCGCTGTACCATTTCCCACGCTCAGTTTGTCACAGAGCTGTTTGGACGGCTTCTAGTTTGTGCAGTAAATGTCCCAGATAGTAATTGTATACCATCAATTTTTGCAGCTGCAGATAAATGGAGTGATGGCAATTCTTCTTCTTCTGCCTTTCTATCCCCCAATGGAGTGTAGGCCCTCAACCAACTCACGCTCTCCCCATGTCCTCCCCATCTTTCTAACTTCATTCTGCAGCTCTCTTCTCCAAATGTTTTTGGCCTTCCTTTTTTTCCTACGCCCCTGTGGGTTCCAGTGCAAAGACATTCTAGTTATGCTGTTCTCCTGTTTTCTCAGTGTGTGTCCTATCCAACGCCAGCGTTTTTTCCTCACCTCTTGGTCCACTGGAGCCTGTTTAGTTCTCTCAACGAGTAATCGCAATAGACCAAGCTTATTTTTGGTTTACTCTCGATCACTTTTTAAGAGGTTTAACAGAATACCAACAGTTAAAAGATTGATGCAAACTACGGTTTGGCTCGACAACAGTCAAACAGTACACTGTGTATGTACGAATGTACCAACTTCGGCAGCCCTGTTGTAGACCCATTGCTACCAGAACTGTGACACTGATTGTCTGCACTGTGTGAGTGACTGACTCCACCATGTAGCAGACGTAGTTTGTTTCTCTGATCACGGCCGACTCTATTTATAGCTCCAGAAGGGCGTGGTCTGATCCACACATCAACATCATCATCATCATCATGAGCCATCTAGTCAAAGTTGGTGGCATATTTCATCCTAGACGTCACAGACCGAGCCCGACATGTTTTAGCCATTGTCCGGTTTCACTAGACTTTCAGAAGTTTGCCATTGCCACTGAACGGTACGGCGCTCATACCGTGGCCGTAATCGATGCAAATTTATTGTAGCTGACTTCGTACCTAGGTCTGAGGGAGTTTTGTATCTGTGTTTATAACCCTGTAGCCACTGACGCCATCAGCCAATAGCTTGATGAATTATCCATCTGCTTTATGTCTGGCCCCAAACAAGACCCGTACACTCAGGTGGGCCTAGCAAGTGTATGGGTCCTGCACACGTTACATGGGTTATGGTGATAATCTCTCATTCTGTTCGAGTCTACAGAATATCTCCAAGCATCCTATCCTCTGCCTCGGTGTCAACATTGGCCAAAGAGGAAAACAGAGCAGGTAATTCATATTATAATCGATCATACCTAAACACTCACACACACATACGCACACATGCACGTAACGAGGTTACTACCCAGCTCTCTACCTGTCTACCTACCAACTTATCCTCTCGTTGCCCATCTGTATACGTTTGCTACCTACCTGCCGTGTCAACTGTTTACATACCTATTTCTCTACACATTGATAAGTCTGTCTGTCTTGTCTTCCCATTCATTTATCTGAATCCATGCCTACCTATCAGCTTACCGTCACCTATCTCACACTACATGCCTTGATTACAGCCTAATTTCTTTCTCCCTACCTGACTACCTATCGCCTGGCCTTCCTGGGATATCCTAGGCAGACACCAATTCTGGGATATCCTGGGTAGACACCAGTTCTGGGAATTCCTGGGTAGACACCAGTTCTGGGATATCCTGGATAGACACCAGTTCTGGGATATCCTGGGCAGACACCAGTTCTGGGATATCCTGGGCAGACACCAGTTCTGGGATATCCTGGGCAGACACCAGTTCTGGGACATGATGGGCAGACACCAGTTCTGGGATATCCTGGGCAGACACCAGTTCTGGAATATCCTGGGCAGACACCAGTTCTGGGATATCCTGGGCAGACACCAGATCTGGGATATCCTAGGCAGACACCAGTTCTGTGATATCCTAGGTAGACACCAGTTCTGTGATATCCTGGGCAGACACCAGATCTGGGATATCCTAGGCAGACACCAGTTCTGGGATATCCTAGGTAGACACTAGTTCTGGGATATCCTGGGCAGACACTTGTCCCTGGTGTATCCATTCCAGACAGTAGTTCTGGAATATCCTTGGCAGACATTCGTTCTGTGATATCATGGGCAGACACTAGTCTTGGGATATCTTGGGCAAACACTAGCTCTGGGATATCCTGTGCAGACTCTAGTCCAGGGATATCCTCGGCAGACACTAGTCATGTAATATCCTTGGGAGACACTGTTCCTGGTATATCTTTGGCAATAACTAATCCCTGGGGTATCTTTGGCGGACACTAGTCCCTTTGATATTCTTTCCAGACACTAGTCCTGGGGTATCCCGGACAGACACTAGTCTGTTGGACATCCTCGGCAGACAATAGTCTTGGACCTTGGACAGATAATAGTTTTTGGGATATCCTGGGCAGAAACTAGGATTTTGGGACATCATGGACAGGCAATAAATAGCCTGCGATACATCACAGACAGACACTAGTCTGTAGGGAATCGGAACAAGAGGCATTTCAGCCTGTATTATCATGTGCGGAGTTAGGGGCTTGCATTTTGTTCATTGTGGATAACATACGCCTTCTTTCTGGAGGCTTGCCAGTCGTGGTCTGGCACTTGATCATTCACGCTTCTCAGAATACATCTCATGGTACAATCATGGGTTACTTCCCTTTCCGTCGCCATTTCGTTTACCTCTGGGATTCCAGCGTCTAAGAATGAAATACTCAATTAGTGAGGTCTCTCGACAACCAGACACCAAACATTTTATAAGAAAGGTTAGTTTGTGACGCCACTTGCTTGTAGTTATTTGTTTCGTTTTCTCAGCCATCCCAGCATTAACGCAAATACAAACACATCAGCCTGAAGAAGCAAAATCCGATGAAGCAAAAAGTGCTGACAAGTAAGACTAAATCTCTCTCTCTGTCTCTCTCTCTCCCTCTGTCTCTCTCTCTGTCTCTCTCTGTGTGTCTCTCTCTGTGTCTGACTCTGTCTCTCTCTCGCTCTCCCTTTCTGTCTCCCTCTCGCTATCTCTCTCTTTCTCTCTGTCTCACACTCGCGCGCGCTCTCTCTCTCTCTCTCTCTCGCTCTAACACTCTCTGTCTCTCATTCGCTCTTTCTCTCTCGCTCACTCTCCCTTTCTTCTCGCTCTCCGTCTCTCCCTGTCTCTCTCTCTCTCTCACTATCTCTCTCGCTCTCTCTCTCTCTCTCTCTCTGTCTTTCACTCGCGCGCGTTCTCTCTTTCGCTCCCTGTCTCTTTCTCTCACTCTCTGTCTCTCTCTATGTCTCTTTCTCTCGCTCTCTTTCGCTCTCTCTCTGTCTTTCTCCCTCTCTTTCGGTCTTTCTCTCCCGCGCTCTCTGATCTCCCTCGTGCCTAGATCGAAAGTCGTGGGTTCTGTCCCCATGTCTTGAATGCCTTTCTGTAAAAGATGGACAAACTTGATTTGGAAATATCTAATTGTCCAATATCTATTGTTTGACTGTTGAAAAGACTCGCCTCACACTTTACTGTGTTCGAATGTGTTTGCATTTCTTCACGGGACATGTCAATTTGGTATTCAATAAACGCCGTTTTCACTTATAGTTGAATGTTGAATTTAGAATCTACATCACAGCATTCGGGAGATTCCAAAAAGCACCCGTCCCCATCTTCAGCAGCATTCGCAGATTTCCAGTTTCGATGGTACTACTAACAGTGCTGGTTTATGTACTTGGGACTGTTTCCTTGAGTGTTGTGCGTTGGCCAGATTGTCTGAAGACTCTGGTTTATGTACTTGGGACTGTTTCCTTGAGTGTTGTGCGTTGGCCAGATTGT